ACTCAAATTCACTTAAGCCTTCGCCTTATGCCTTACAGGCAATGACGGTGGAAGGTTCGTCCTGCTCCCTTACTCGAATGGCTCGCCCGCGATTGCCTCCACCCAGTCGTTCCGCTACGAGATCTTGGGCGGAATCCGAGACCCGGTCCAATTTCAGCTGCTGGTGGAGGTGACTGATGAATCGCTGAACCCCGACAAGTCCCACCAGCTGACTGGGACAGCAACCGTAATCGTGCACGTTGTGCCGTGGTCGACCACCACTCCCGCTACCCCGACGTCCGCAAGGACAGCGGTAAGGAGGAAGGCAACTGCAGTTTAATGCGTGGGTGTGTGGGTGTGTGTGTGGGGGGAGCGGTGGTGTAGCGGTTAGCGCGCTGCGCTACGAACCTGGCGACCCGAGTTCGATTCCCGCTCACGGCCAACACCAGTGACGATTATCTGAACCGGTCCCGGGCCTCCCCTAGGTCGACTCAGCCTCAAATGAGTACCTTGTGCGGTGTGTACACGTCGCCACTGGGGAGACAAAGGCGGTCGGGCGTGGTGATAGCCAACCCACTCCCTCGTGTACCGTTACCGGCCTTCATAGGTGCTCGCTAACAGCACTTGCCCCTACAGTCTGTTAAGGCTATACGGGGGGATCTTTGTCTTTGTCTTTGTATTGGGGATGATTTTATTTGCTTCACACACAAAAAAATAATCACACGAAGCATCCTTCTTCCAAAATATGTCAAATTCATAAATGTTTCTTGTATGATTTGAAGTGTAAGCTTTAACCATATTTGTTAGTTATTCAGGATACTATTGTTTAATTAGCATGTTGTAAATTCAATTCAATAAATCCTTCACAGAGGCACATTTGTGTGATTGTACATAATTATATATTCTTTTAATACCTGATTTTACGTTTGTTACACCATCAATTATTGTACCTGCTGTTTTTGGTCCGTAATCACAGCTTACACAACCTACGTGAGAATGTACAACAGCATTGAGCAACAATGAAAATGCCTTCGACTGCATTGTGCATTTATGTTTGTTTGTGATATGAATGATGCTGCTTCTGTGTGTGTGTGCTCTCATCGTAGCGGTTAGCACGTTGCACTACAAACCTGGCGACCCGAGTTAGATGCTCGCTCATGGCCAACATCAGTGACAATTATCAGAACTGTGCCTGGGTCTATCCTAAGTCGACTCAGCCTCAAATGTGTACCTGGTGCGTTGTGTAAACATCACCACTGGGGAGACAAAGGCGGCCGGGCGTGGTGTTGTCCACCGACCCCTCGTGTGCCATCCCGGCCATTATAGGTGCTCGCTAACAGCACTTGCCCCAGCAGTCTTTTAATACTATACGGAGGATCTTTGTCTGTGTCTTTGTCAGCTATGGACCACATCTGTGCTGACCTTCAGGCAGGTGTACTGGAGGCCCGACAGTTGGTTCGTGGCTCTCTTAGTTGTCACCGGTGCTCTCCTGCTGGCTCTGAGCTCAGCGATCATCTGGAGTTTCTGCAGGCCGTAAGTAGAAGAGAACAGTCATTATGAGATGCACTTGGGGAGGCCAAGTGGCGCAGCCGGTCAGTGCACTTGCCTCTGGGTTCAAAGTTCGCCATTTCATATCCATTCTCAGCACCGTAGTAATGCGATCTATGAACCCTGCGGGACAAGTATGCCGTTGGATAATTTACGCGCGTGAGAAAAGGATCTGCGGCCAGGCTGGAACAGAGTGTGCTATTAGGATAGAACAAAGTGTGCAGCTGTTGTGGACAATTTTTGCCCACAATCAGTTAAAGATTTGCTCACAAAGAACTCAATTGCTCACCGTAGTCACTCGATACCCTTCCTAAATACTTGCCGGTGCTCGGTGTCCCGTTATGGAGCTGAGTGTTTGAACATTGACCTCAGCCACGCATGTCCATACCACTGTGATTGAGTTGACTTCTACTCAGGAGCTTTGAACTGATCATCATTCTGCAGCAGCAACTGCTGAAATGGTGCCTATATATTTTCATAAACACATCACAATAACTCATTTTGTCTTATTCCTTTTTTTTTAGCAAACAACCCGACTCCAAATATTTGCCAGAGATGGATGACAAAGCCAGACCTGGGACCATTGAGAGGTTGTGGATTGAATTTGTTCATGCAAAAAATCACATGAGCACCAAATATAAGTACAGCCATCATTGCAAAATGTGATACTTTTAGATAATTTAATGAAGTGCATCTTATATTTCATACAATTACAATGTTCCAATGTCTCGTTGTGCGTTCTTACAGTGATGCAATGCATCGTTTGGAAGATGTGGATAACCCAAGCTCCGCAGAGTCTGCGGCAGCAGCAAATGTAAGTTGATGCATGGGTATTTCGGAATAGCATCGCCTGCATTAAACACAATAGAACTAAATTATTATTTAACACTCTCAAGTTTGTAACCACTGACACGTGTAATGAAAGGCACATAACCCTATGTAGAATAACTGCTAGATGAGGGGGGGGGGGGGGGGTTAATTTTGTCACAGCTTGATACCCAACAGTGTGCTCTCCAATTATCAACTGCATGAGCCTTACTTGATTTGGAACCCTAAGAATCTTTGAGCACAACTGGTGGGCACTGAGCCGCCACTTCTGAGATTCTGTGCTAGAATCTGGGCAGTCCCGTTTTATTCAACTGGGTTCTCGAGTGTGGTGAGTTGATATTCACAACTTGGTCATGAGTTACTGTACCAAAAAATACATTTTCTTAATCTCTGGAATTTAGAAAAATGTGGCTAAATTGTAGCTTTGAGAATGCAAATAATCTCTGTAATAGGGCAGGTGGGAGAGTACTGCCCCCCAGTGTGTATGAGGTGATATCTCCTTCCATGCAGCCTTCACTAACATGGGGTGATGATGATTTGTTGCTTTTGCGAGAGTTCTGAATGGATCCTTTGTCTCGTGACACCGATAGCACAATTGGAATACAATTTTGGAGATAAACAATGAAAAAAGTGTTAACAACATTTGTCAATGCACGTCTAGTATTTAAATTACTACGAAAGAGATTTTGACCATCGTTTAGTATGCAGCTAACCTTGTGCAAAGCCACCCTCGTGTCCACGATGTCTCAACAATTTGCCATCGTTTTAAATGTTTAAGTAATGAGCTTTTGCATTATGGACCCTAATATCCATTCTCTTTCTTCTATTCCTGCCTGTGGTTCATGAACAGGATCAAAATGTGTTTGACGGACGTGCTGTCGATCCAGGTATGCTTAACAATACATGTATTAGACAAAGAGCTTTGTTTAAAAATATGATTTAATGGCAACATTAATTAACAAGTGGTTATTGTATATGTTCGTATGGAGCATGTATTTACATTTGTTCAAGTCAGAAGTGTTCGTAGACAGTTGAGGAAATCTTGAAATTGTGAAAGACCTCAAACACATTCATTCATAACATTGCCCAAAAAAATGAGGCAAGGTTTCAGACAATGGGCCCTTCTTCATAACGAAGATATGACAAATATGTTGTTATTTGTACGTAAGCACCACTAACAACGCAGGATTACAGTTTATTCTGTTTATGTTGTTTAGTTTCAGGAAAAGAATACCTCTTCAACAGCTGGAATGGGAAGCGTTTGTGGGTATAAGGAAACATTCCCATCCTCGGTATAGCGATGACAAAACAGTGTTGAATGTCTCATTAGGACATTTACGCCAGCATTGCTTCGTTTATTTTGTGTGCTATATAACCGGTGTGCATGCACATCATTTGCGCTTGTGTGAATGTATAATTCTCCCCCCCCCCCCCCCCCCCCGTAATGTTCATTAAGTCTACTAAACCAGGCTACAATCACAAATACTGCATTGCTTTAATAGGCTCGTGGTATTTTGAAAAATAAATACGGATTCTTGGTATTATTTGAAGGCCTGTACGTGCCACTATGCATTAAATTTGCCTTCCACGCATTTAAAAATGTACTCACTGAAGGAGGAAATGGCCTGTCAAATTTGACCACGTCATCGATTTGTCAGTCGTTTGAATGCGCGCAGAGAAAAGGCTCTGTCGTCATGAGGACCGCTGTGATATCATATTTCACGATACAATGCGACATAAAATTTCATGATATGATGATTGTCACTCATATACGTTTCCCGTAACTTCGTAATCGTATTTAAAATTACTATTGTAGTTTCGTTTGCTTTACTGTATTTACAGTCACAAATACAAATGTGCGTAATTGCAGTTCACTAGAGACTACCATGCAGTAGGTATTTATCATCACGACTTCAAAATGTCCTTAAATATCAGAATTTCTGCTCGTTACACGAAAAACTATGAAAATCATGACATATCATCACCATGCCACCCATTAGTGTGGAAAACATTGTCAAGCTATAATTAAAATGAATAATAGTTATGTACGGTAATTGCTATTTCACTGAAAAAATGCGAGGAAATAAAATATTTAAGAAATATTTAATTGAATTTTTTTTTTGCAAAACGGAACATACGATTATTATGGATTTCAATATATATCACAGTATATCTATATCATGGTAACCCCCATTATAGTTAACCTGTCTTAAAAACCGACCAATTTTAGTCCATGAATTCAAGTATTGCAGTGCTGTGGGGTGATACATCTTCACTTGTGAGGCCAGTATTCTTATGCTGTACTGTATTCACCTAAACCACGATATTCTCTTTAAGCACAATGTATGAGCGATTCCCTGTCTTGCGTGTATTGGTGTAGCTATTTGCCGTAATGTGGAAGTTGATTTTTAAGAATGTACATGTTATACGTACATTTTGTGTGCATTAACATATGTATGTTTTGATTTAAAGCTTTCGTGACTGCAGGGATTCATATTCTTGGTTCTTTCGGTAAAGTCACGTAGAAGGGAAACAATAAAATGATAAAAATATAAAACAATAAAATTCTCACGACGTTTCGACTGCAACACGAGCAATCATCATGAGGCGTGAAAACCCTTTTACGTGACTTTACCGAAAGAACCAAGAATATATGTATGTTTGTTGTTGAACTTCGTTCGCACCGTACGTTTTCATCCGTGCCAATTGAAGGTGCGGGGGAAGGACAACAAACTCAACTCAAATTTTGTGTGCCCTGCATTACGTTCTAGAACAAATCCTGAATATTCCTGGTTTTGCAACATATAATCAATAAAGCAAGTGTGCCTTGAACTGTTTACCCTTGGATTCGCTTTGTAGTAACAGCGTCCGCCTGATTAACATTTACGGCAAGCGAGGCAGCCACGGTAACGAACATCTTTCCTCATTACCTACGTCGAGTGCAAACACCGTAAAAAAAAGATATAAATGTACACGGATAGTTATTGACACGATGAGAGCCAGCAGTTGAAACACCCGGCCCAAGAGCATAACGCCGTTGTCGGCCAGTAAAAACAGAAAGCAATCCATGCCACCACCCCCCCCCGACCTCACGAAAGGTTTGCGGTTAAATACATTCTGAAGCAATTTATACTCGGGTTGCTATAAGAACTGAAAGATGCATTGCTAAGTCGGATCTGGTTGGCTAGAGTTATCGTCGGGCAGGTTGTGTGTTTGTTGAGGATACACTTTAATTTATTTTTTTAAAAGTAAAGTCGCGTCTCGGCGAGGACTTTGGAGGTGAGCTGTGAGTGTGGTGAGGCTTAAATTCGGGGGATTGGGGCACCAGTGAGTTCGCTCATGGAGCAGAAGATTGCATCGCTCTGCTTTTCCTGCTGCGTCATACTCTGTGGTGGTAAGACCTGTCATTGGTTTTGTTTTCCCTTACCCTTATTGTTGACTTAATCGTAAGACATTTTTGTTCGGAAGTATAATTTTTTTTTATTAACAAGACGATTAAGGTGCGGACAGAGGAAATGAAAGGAGGTTGACACCAGCACAAAGGCATTACGTATATGAGTGCAATGGAAACCTGTCTAAACCGCATGTTTAAATAAAACAGTTTCAATAAACTCGACAACCCTAGTGTCTTCCTAAGCGCTGATACCCCTATAGGAGAAGGAGAAAACAAAGGGGAGATGGGGGGTGGGTAATCGTAACAACGCGACGCAATTGTATCTGCATAATTACCGTACAGGTAAGTTAACACTGCCGTGAACATACGGCTGTATGATTATTATAGAATTGTAATTGGGCTGCGGTTTGAGTTATGTGGGTAACAACGATACTCCCTCGGACCTGGTCGTGTTGAGATTTCATCATCGTAGTTTTATTTCGCTTTTAAGCCTCCACATGGCTGGCATGGCGTTGGTGACATGCTATCGAGATTTGTCGGCGGAGTCTCATGTGTTCACAAGATTTTGGGTGAGATTGTTACAAATTCGTCCGTTCCGTGCCGTTGAAGACCACTCAAGATTCTCATTTTCTTTTTGGCATATACTTTATCTTTCGCAAAGCTCGACATTCATCTGCTCAAGTCAAACTATTGTCTCATTACTATTGTTTTAACATATATGTGATATTTTTATGGACATACTGTATTATTTTAATATTGCGAGCATCATATTGTAATATAAGCAAATAATTTCTCAGGGTTCTTAAATAAACACGGGCAGCGGCTTTTAATTATTTAATGTTTTTTTAATTAAATTTCGGTTCTTTCTCTTTGTGTTCAGGCTTGTCAGGGACTTTTGCTAAGCCTGGTGAGTTTCTAATGCAACATTATTCACTCTCCAAACAACATTAGTTAAGTGTTTTTGCATGTCTCGAGCACATTATCGCGTGCGGTGCCAAGAGGTGTGTTTTTATATCTGGAAACACTTGAGTTACGGAAAACGTTGTTGCATTAGTCTGTGCATTAGTGCAGGGAATACAGCAGATGCCTTTGGCAGAGCCTCAACGAAGCATGTGTCATGTACAAAGTGGGTTTATCTCATAGGTTAGTATATTACAAGGTGATAATATGTTGCCTGCAGATAAACTTTAATAACTTACAGGCTTTTCACACGGTTTTTTTTTTGTGAAACACATTTTGCTCGGTCAAAACATGTTTATATACGTGTGATGGTTTAGTGAGAATCTTGATGGAATATGTCTCATTAACGTCGTTACTGCCACTGACATTACATTTGTATGCGTTACAGACTTTAATCTTATTCCAGCTGTGTTCACTATACCAGAAGACAGTGCTGCTCAGACGCTGGTGGCCACCTTTGAAATCAGCTTCCCAAATGAAACCATTGACAATGTTGTCCTAACCCCAACATCACCTTTCCAGCTGAGATGGTTTCAATTAAACGTTTCTGGTCCTGGAGTTTACATTGTGGAGGTAAAGCGTAATGGTTATTCATTATTGTTATGTTTACAAAACGAAAGTTATTAAACATGCACTGATATGACTGAGGGTTTCATTTTTATATATTTTTTATCTACTGTATTTGTAATTCGTGCAAATAGGTCAATTTCAACTTGGCAAGTACATTATATTTTCCCAACAATGATAAAAAAGACATTTACGTCGTACATTTATGTAATACGGTTGTTTTGTTTAAGTTTGTGAATAATATTCCGATTCTAAAGTGCAGTGCTCACATTTTGAAGGGAATGGCATAGTAGTTTTTTGAGGACTGGCATATGTTCCCTTTCTCAATATACTCATAACGTAGCCTATATAAGAGAGGGTATTGAAATTGCAACATCAGAAGCAACATCAGCAGCAGTCGGAGCGACAACAGGGGTAACAGTAAAACGATGTCATCATCAATCGTTATCGTCAACCTCAGCAGCATCATCAACATAATCATATTTCATCATTTTATCCAACACAATGTTCAATGGCATTGTTATCATTATCAACATTAATTTATTCATCTTTATCATCTACTTCGAGCGTGATTGCCTCCATTCTGCCACTTTCAGCCATGTTAAATCATCTGCTATACGATGGCCTTCCCTACTAATTCCCGCCTATCAGAGTTTCTGCGATGACAGAATCCGCCAAGCACTCACGCGAAAATTGATTTCATCGCTCCATCTCCACGGTAACTGTACTGTCGTGTAGCACAGTTTACAGCCATAAAATTTTGTGTCGACACTGAAAATGTTGCAGCATGGAGCTGACAATCACACATTAATTCGAGCAGAATGACATGCCAGGCCCTCGCTGCATTCCTTGTGCAAGACACAATTTCCTTTCAGTGGTGGGGAGTATCCCCAATTGCATGAAAAATGTTCACGATCAATGGCTCTTTCCCTATCCCGCACACAATATTGGTGATCCCAAGTGTGCACAATGAGTAGTTGCAGAATGGTCGGCCCCCAGATAATTTGCAAAATACAGCATGAGGCAGGTTTTATGTCAAAACGTGGTTGGAATAATGGCCAAAATGACTATATGGATTTAGCCCCTTGTCTCAATTGGTTCTTACCCAGTGAAATGTAAATAAAGTGTGCTTTTGTCTGTGTCGTTGGTTTAAAAATAAGGCCTTTTAAATATTGAACATTCTATTGATGTGGTTTTCTCTGTTTTTTTTTCTTGAATACAGGTGACCCTGATCGGTGTAAATCTGCTGGACTTTGAAACTCTGAATCAGTACAACATGACTGTGTCAGTCACAAATGTCAATGGCACCAGCTCAGAAGTATTCTTCATTGAGGTGACTGATGTTAACGAGCCTCCGATCTGCAGTGATCAATCCCCAGCAGGTCAGAGTGTTGTTTTTCAGTACGTGTGTGATTTAATTTACGATGATGAAAAAAAAATACACGTGTAAAGAAGTATCTCTCATAACATGACGATTCAACCGCTCTGCAAGAGACCCGAATGTATTTCTCCGTCTTATGCAATGATGGCCCATCACATATTTGAGATTAAATTGTAGAAAAAGGCAAAAACGACGGCGCCTGAAATGTGACAACCAACGTTTTCCAGTCGATTTCCACTTGTTTGTTAATTTCCGTGCAATATTAATGGTGCAGATTACTGATATGATTTATTTCCTGATAATTACGTGACGGTAAAAAAAAAAACCTCAGCTTATTCAAGCAGCATTCATGAGATAGTTTTTTGGATTTGCAACACGGGAATCATGTTATTTTTTTTTTCCCATGGGTGGCATGGGAGACACTTTTAACAAACTCAACCGAAGGCAAACACGAAGTATGTTATGACATTTTTTTTTATTATTATATTGTATTCAATGCTGCACTGTACCCAAAATATATGTATGTTTTTTTGCAAAAAAATGTGACTATAATTTGTTTGGATAGCTTTATCAAGGCAAGAATTGGTTTATTATAACATTTTTCAGCTCTAAAAGAGTGATGGTTTGCAATGGGTATGGCGCATTTGCAGCCTGTGGTAATTCGTACTTCACTGGCAACAAAAGCCCTGGAATTGTATTTGATGCTTGTTTTTAAAAGTTATTTCTGTCTCACTTTTACTGAACATTTCAGGCGCTCACATTCACATTCTAGAGGATGCACCACACGCGACAATCGTCTACAGAGTTAGAGCCACCGATCCAGATCATGGTGACATCATCAGTGTAAGTCAGAGCCCACCAAGCACCTGCCACTGATTAACGCATTTCTCACGTCACTTCTGTCTGTGCCTCTCTAACTGTTGAGCGCTGCTGCCGTGTTGCGGTTAGTCCGCTGTGACGCAGGGTGAGGAGGCCTTCATTCAGAAATGTATCGAAATAGGGCTGTATTTTGTTTATAACTGTAATTATAATGTACCAAAAGGGGTTGTTGATGCACTTCTGCGGCCGTCTGGAATGTTCTTCCTTCTGATATTAAGAAGCCACTCGAGTTAGGCACTTTTAAATCTAGAGTTAAACTATTTTTGTTAGAACTGAATTTTGTGTTTAGTTTATTGTCATTCCTCCATACCTCCGATTTGCATGGTTGGCTACGTACAATGCGAAGGAAGTTCAACATACAAGCATGATTCAGGAATATATGCTACATGCAAGACAGCAATTGGATATGTACTTTCACATTAACAGTTGAGATTTTTGTATCCAAATAAGACAGAGAATGAACTCTCCTTTATACATTAATCGGCATCAGCGTGTGAACACATTTAATGTTAAAATATTTTTTTTAATGTTGCAGTTCTCCTTGCTAAGTGTTGACCCAGTATCCGGCCTGAGCCAGTTCAACTTTAATGAAGCTCAAGGAATGTTGACAGTGTCCTCGTCTGGTTTTGACTGCACCGCAGACACGGTGGGATACTACACCCACACCACGTGTGACATTTCCACGAAACCACACTTGTGTACTCTCACCTCATTCTACGTGGTCTGGCCTACTCCTAGCCACGTGTGCGTCATCATCATTATCACCAGTTGTGGGATTCAATTCATACGAATCAAGCTTGATTCACGCGATCGGTCCCTGCACGAGCAGTCACATGCCCATCAAATCTAAACGGGTGGGTTTTCGCTCTCCTTTTGAAAATAAAAGGTGATGTTGATGCCATTGGTGGCTAAGGGTGAGCTATGGGTTCCGTTCACCTCTGCATCTCGGAACAAGTAAGTGGCTCAGTGTTAATTTTATATTTGAGTGGCACAGCGCCACTGTTTTTAAAGACATTGTACTCACCGCATAGAACTGCAGTGACACCTCCGCACTCAATGAAAGGCGGTGCCAAACTGTGCCACACACCCTCCCACATGGACTTGTGGGAGTCTTGGTACCGATAAAGTTATTTTATTTTAGTTTTTATTCTGGTTTCATTTAGAATCGGAAGAAAAACTGATGACGTACACATACGTCATCGGAAAGGCAAATGGTTAAGAGCAAAATCGGGGTTTAGCGCCCTGTCTATAGCCTTAAGAGGCTGTAGGGGCAAGTGCTGTTAGCGAGCACCTATGAAGGCCAGAATGGCACACGAGGGGGTGGGTGGGCAGCACCACACCCGGCCGCATTTGTCTCCCTAGTGGCGAAGTTTACACACCGCACCAGGTAGTCATTTGATGCTGAGTCGACGTAGGGGAAGACCCAGAGACCGGTTCAGGTAATCGTCACTGGTGTTGGCCATGAGCGGGAATCGAACTCATGTCGCCGGGTTCGTAGCGCAGCGAGCTAACCGCTGCACTACCAAACCCCATTAGACATTACGCACACACACACACTTGGTCATGTGATGCATTATTGCACGATTCTCATCCCTCTAAACCGCTGCATGTTCGCCATGGCGTTGGTGACATGTTTGACACCGAGATTTGAGAGAATTCCATGTGTTCGCTAACATCTCGGCTGAGTCTTGACTTAAAGCTCTCGTGACTGCAGGGATTCATATTCTTTGGGTCTTTCGGTAAGGTCACGTAGATAGGTTCAAAGAAAATAACAAAAATACCAAAAAACTACGACGTTTCGATTGCAACACAAGCGGTTGTCATCCTGATGACAAAACGTCGTAGTTTTTGGTTATTTTTGTTATTTTCTTTGAACCTACCTCCGTGACTTTACCGAAAGACCCAAAGAATATCTCGGCTGACATTGTTTCCAAATCGTCCGTGCCGCAATATATATAAAGGAATATGCTGATAACAGTGCACCAACGCGTTTCATATTGTTGAAAAGTTGCCATTCTTTAATAATAGGTAATACTTTCTGGACTCCCTGTATGTTCAAGTGTTCATCAGGGTAAACGTAGATTGTGTACATAACGGTATCATCCATCATATAATAATTACACTTAGACAACTGTTTTGAACTGTATGGATGAAATGATGGCAACATATTTCCTTATATAACAAGGATTTTACATACAGGCGTCCCTTGCATAAAGTGCCTCCCCATAGCGTGAATTCGCAGTTCCACGATTCATCTTTTGGGGACATACTTCATGCTTATGCTATTCGTTTCACAGTTACGTGCTCAATAAAAAATTTTAACAAAAAATTTTTTCAAAATTTTCAGTGATAAAAATTCACAGAAATAAAAACAAATATTAATGAGGGCGTTAACGGCGTCACGTCAGCGCCCCAGTGTCACGGGCTGGGGGTAGCCAGCTTTGATCTGCTGCCTTTGTTTGCGTTGCGTGCTGCTGCCGCTGCAAACAGCCCACGGAAGCGTACAAGAAGCGCTTAAATTTAATCCTTATTAAATAATCTTTGCAATGTTAATTATATTATATACAAATCTTGAGTGATCTTAAGCTTTTTGAGTACATAGCTAACTGTTTATGAAATATATATAAAAAAAAAATCTAGAATTATGTAAAACGTATACATTTATAACATAGATGCTTTAATTGACATTAAAGGAAAAACAACTCAAATCATTTAAAATCTAACAATTGATGAATTAAAGATTTCGTTTGAAGATAGAGTCTCTTCTAGACGAGTATTTTTTTTTTTATTGAGATAGTCAAATGTAAATTTTCCTTTGGTTATTGTCACGCAAACATTGTCACGTTTTATCTTACAGAATTTCTTGCTGGACATTATGGTCAAGGACCAAAACGGCCTTTCGTGCAACCTAACCCTGACAGTTACAGTCGTAAATTTGGACGACAACGATCTGGTCTTTACGTAAGATATGTAGCTCGGATACGCACACACTGTTTCTTCATGGATCCAAGCAATCATCGAGTGAAGCTCGGTCGTGTTTGGCCCACGTCATTGTACGGTCATATATATATAAAAAAAATAGTCTGTTGCTCACGTTGGGTGTTACTTTGTAAGAAGATGTATAATTCGTACACGCACAATGATATGCGCAACATCTCCGTGTAGAGTTGTGTCTACAAATGTTTAAGAATTGCTCTATGTTCACCTTTGCTGTACATCAAATCATTCAAGTTATTATGTTTACTTAATCTGCCATACAAACTTAGTTTTATATCATGTATTGCAAAACCACTATAGCAAATCACAATATGAATTATATTGCCATCGAGCAAAAGTCAACATTTAGCTTTTAAAAGTCAAACCTTTCACAGTACTATCCCGGTGTTCTGTATAAAGAAAATCAGCAAAAGGAATATTCCACCTCTACCAACCAGATGCGGCTTAATCGCAACATGCATCCGAATGTGCGTCGATGTTTCTTTAGGGCTCCATCAGAGAGGGTCTTTTGGATTTCAGAAGAAGAACCGCAAGACCATCTGGTGACTGTAGTTGCAGTCAACGATACCGAGGTGTTCTTTACATTTGTGAACCATGTGGAAGGGTTTTACATAACTCCAGGTGAAGCGGACTGCACTAAACACGCCTCTCAAATGCATGTGCGAATAATGTTAGAATTGCCCTATCGATGTTTGTGCTGAGCTACAGAGAGAGAGAGAGACGAGAACATTTATTTTCGAGAACATACATCTCCATTCCCATCCTACTTCCTCCTGAGAAGAACTTATCCCCCCCCACCTCACTGTAAGAAGTAACCTGCGTGCAAGATGTTTTGCTCATCTGTACTGCAGGTGAACGCCATTGCAGTATACATTGCATTTGCTTTGCCATCTGACAGCACACTTTATGTGCTCAAGTAGCTGGGCGTAGTGGTAGATTGTCGCTAATCTAGTCTATTGGAGGTAAGGGTTGGTGGATCACAATTTAATTCGTGGATACAAATATGGTTTGTGAAAACCCATCTGTGTCAACCCCACCTGTGGTTGACCTTTGAGTGTCGCCCCCTCATACGCGTGAGTTTTCCCCACCCGCTCTTGCTTTCCTCATACATGCAAAAAACACTCCTTAAGAAAACGAATTGACCTGACATCGCAGCTATTGATTGCTCGCTTTAAGTGGCTGTTTTGCGGCTCTTTTAGGCACAGGGGAAGTGAAAACAGCCTTCAAGCTGGACGTAGACGAAAAACCTGAGCTCCAGAATAACTATATACTGGTTCGGGCGACAAACTACATTCACCAACGCAGCGTTACGCTCAGTCTCACAGTCTACGTGATGGACATCAATGACAATCCGCCAGTCTGCTCTTATTACCAACGCATGTACGTATTACGACTCGTAGATAAGGCACGTGAGAGAACAAAAATTACCCATATATACGAACTCATTTAATTGCAGCTTAGTACACGTATATAAAACCAAAAACTCGTTTAAGGATGCCTTTGTGTAGTGTTAACCAACATCTATTTCTCATGTGTGTTTTCTTTTTCATTGTAAAGATTGCAGATTCCAGAGACTACGCCTGTAAATTATGCTGTCGTGGATGTATCCTGCACAGATCGTGATGTGACCTCACCGAACAATGTGCTGATATATAGTCTAAGCACTGACGCGAACTCGGAAGGGCGCTTTATAATGACGGAAGCTACTCTCAAGGTATTTACAGCAGCCGCCTGTTGCTGAGCTGCACTGATTTATTGAGGAAAAACACAAAACATCAGTGGCAACAGATTGCACTGCATGGCCACATTAGGTTTCAATTAACTATGTTACTCTTTCACCTTGATAAATATGATATTACAATGGGAGTAATGGGAAGCTAATGATTTAAAGTATCCTCTCCACGTCATGCAATTGTATGTTTTTGTCAAGGCAATCAGTAGCATGTTGTATGTATATGTATGTTGAACTTCTTTCACAGCATACGTAGCCAGACCGTGCTAATCGGAGGTTTACATGACCTTGTTTCGTTTTCTTTTCTCAGATAAATTCAAGTTTGGATTATGACACGGCTGATTTGGCATCTGTGGACTACAAGTACAATCTGAAAATAGAGGTTTATGACCTTGGAGTTAATATCTCACTGACGTGTAAGAAAACTCGTTTTGTACGTAAAATATATCAGTCTTCTGACAATTACAGTCAAACCTTGGATTGCGAGTAACTTGGTCTGCGAGTGCTTTGTAAGACGAGCAAAACATTATAAATAAATATTAATTTGATAAACGAGCGAGGTCTAGCAATACGTAGAGTATACACTTTGTCTGCGGAGCGTCACGTGATCACAACTGATATACGAGTGCTTTGATATACGAGTGCTTTGGATTACAAACACGTTTCCGGAACGAATTATGCTCGCAAACCAAGGTTTTACTGTATTTAATTGGTTTCAGTTTATTTTGCAGGGAGTTACTTATTTTTTGTTTGTTGGGGATCATATAGAGAGCAAATGTGAAAATCTAGATCAAACTTAGAGAAGCTAATATTGCGATAATCACCAAGTCGTGAAATGTAACACTTGTTATTGTGACAAATGACACTGTGACAATTTGAGCAATGCATACACTAGGACAGGTAAGTGAATACAACGACTGATGATGTCGTAATTATCTTTTTTTAAATTCAGGAAAAATATCGTCGCAACCAGTGTAGTTGAAACCGTGGGTCACTGCCAGTTGCCAAGGTCGCATCAGACTATGTTTATAATTCTTAAGGTTCGTATATAAAAACAAAACCAGTGAATTAAATGTTTTAAGAGGAGTGGGAGTAAAGATCACAAGCCACCCTGAATGTCTAATTTATTTTATATATACATGACAATTTATGAAAATCAACTTGTCACATGCCGCACAGTACTGCATTTGCTTCATTTCGGAGAGAGAGAGAAGGTGCGAGTAACCACAGACAAGCTGACAGGTAGTCGCACGATGCTCCGGCACCAACGATTGTCCAAGCGCTGTGGTCCTCAATATACCTTAAGGTATTTTCAGGCAAAGTGTCTAAGTATGTGCGAGGCAACTGGAGCACCCAGAGAAAACCCACGGGTGTGAGGGGGAAACACTATATCCCATACAGATGGAACAGATTAATAATATAGGAAATACAATGCTTATGTATGACATCATTATTCATGTTAACGCAGTCATGTCTGTGCCTCCCTGACAAACACACACACACAGCGACGGTGACAGTGATCGTAGTGGTGACCCCCGTGAATGAGTTTTCACCTATATGTACGGGACCAGTGAGGTTTTCAATTTTCGAAGACCAGGAGGTGGGTGACAGTGTTTCTCCGAACAAACCCTCGTGCACAGACCAGGACTATCCATTGGATAATCTGCGCTACTCGATGATCGATGACTCAGCCCACTTCTACATCGATCCCAAGACTGGTCAGTTTTTTTTTTAAAGTATATTCCGTACCTGTGTTCATGTGCCGGAGTGAGAATGTGCATGCTGTTTGAGCATTCATAGATGAGTGCTTTACATTTTAGGAGGACAATTTTCTAATATTCCTGCATGAAAACCTACCAGCCAGGTGGATTGTAAGTTGTTTGTGTCGGTGTCCATGAGAATAGGCTATTTAAACGTCTTTGCCTTCGTATTACCGAGTGTGTCAGCTAAAATAGAATCTGCTATTATGTTTTAATAGATGCCATACTTGCACTGTATGTGATGATCTGCAGAGAATTGAACATGCATAAGAGGAATGTGCCACTGATTTTCAGTTGAATCAGATTTTTTGTTTCTGATTGATTCGAAAAGCGGAAGTAACGTCACGAACGTACCATCACTTCTGTCACGTGGCATCTGGTGATGCTATTATGGTTAGCGTGAAGACAGTTTACTTTTTGTATGTAACTAAAAAATAAGCGAAAAATGTAAAAAAAATATTTCTAATTGTATTAACAAATGAGAACATCTGAAATCGAATACTTGTACATTTTAAACGTACCCCTCATACATAACAATGGCATCAGATCTGGTAAGACCACTAAAGTTAAACCTGAATCTTTTAACTTTTAATCCACTCAAATGGATAATATTCCCTTCATTATTAAGTTGTGCACTTCTACCAAGTCAAACAAACAGTTAAATATTTTGTAGAATTTACTTGAGAAATATGTGAGTTCGCATTGTTGCCATTGCCATCAAAACTGCGTCCAGGAAAGGTTCAAGCAGAGCTGTTTAAGAACCCAATTATATAACCCTGAAGTCATGTTTGCACTGTGAAGTGTTGGTTATATTGTGCAAATGCTCCACATACAAGGCAATTGCGTGCATAAACATTGCCTAACGTAGCAACCAAACAGAGTGGCCCATGACGCCTTCGGCTTTTGTGTGCTGTGAGCACTGTCAAAATAAAACCAGTTGTGAGAGTCGAAAATATGTCTCTCTTTGAACTTATTTCATGGTGCATTTGGCTACGTAAGTCATTTTCTGGAGCAAGAGAAACGGCAAAAACAACACAATTTACAATGGATTTCTTGTCATTTTAGCCCGAAAACAAATGCGAAAAAGCTTGCCTGACAAACACAGAGAGTACTTTTTCAATTATAAAACTGTACCATGTAGTTCAGCATTGCTTCTCAATCCGATCAAGTGGTTCGGCGGCAAGACTGAGAGGCGTCTAATCAGAGAACTGTGAGTTCAAAGTCCAAGTTTGATGGGGTAGACCCAGCCCATTGTCCCTGACGGACGAATGATACGAGTATCACTTTGTGGGGAAATGAATAGTTGTTGTAACATGGAGAGACTTGCCCCCGTCATAGGAATGTGGAATTTCCACCGCTGGCTCAGGATTGTAAACAGCAGATGGGCACTGCCTCAATGGTCATTTAAAGGCATTAAGCATGGGGACGTGCTGCTTGATGTGGATCAAAAGAGCATATTAAGGATGGGATTCAATTATAAATGTTAAATCATGATTGGGAGCCTTCTCGGTTGTATAAATGACACTTGGATACGATGCAGATTATAACGAGTGTCACTTGAGTAAGCCTACGCCCCATGTTTGTCTTCACAGGTATTATTCAACTATTAAACCCAGTTGACAGAGAGACAAAAGCCACATACCGAGTAACCATTAAGGTGGAGGACTTTGACCAAGACACGGACACTACAAACGTTAAGACTATCTTCCAGGATTATCAAATCGTAATATTGGTATGAAAACATGTGAATGTTTTAATAGTCACTGGCACGCATTGGCAAATATGTAAAACGATGTAACACTTCACGAGGTCACAGAACAGTCACAATCGGTATGGGTTAATTAGATTTGGTGAGTGGCAGACGGACCACCCACACTCACAACTTTGCCCCACACGCACACATTGTGTACTCGAATTCATCATACTCTTTATCATCAGCCATTGTCTATCTATCGATGCACAAAGGCCTCCCCCGTGCCGTCGCGGTCCTGTTCTGCCACAATCCATCGCCCTCCTTGACATTGCCTGATGTCGTCGTCGTCCCAGCTCCCCCGTGGCCAACCTATTTGGGGTGTTCTCTTCTTTGGATGCCATTCTGTCCGCAGTCTTGTCCATCGGCCCTCATCCGATTCTAGTGATGTGTCCTGCTCAGGCCCACTTTTCTTGACAGCCAATATAATACTCTTTGGTTCTTTCGGTAAAGTCACGTAGGTATATTTTATTTTATACCTACGTGACTTTACCGAAAGAATCAAAGAGTATGGATTGCTGCAGTCACGAAAGCTTCAAATCAAGATTGAACAGCCAACATAATACCCGTGACTTGCGTGTGTTCCCTGGTCCATGTGCTCCTACTTTTTTATAGCTCTCATTGAATTTCCAGACATGCATCTATCCATGATTTTTTTTTAAACGTTTTAGAACGTTTATTTGGATCACATTTTCTTTGGCAGTGTCTATGTTTTTTTTCATACATAACAGGAGGCCATTTGCACCGCTTGAAACTTTTCCGTTCAGGTACAATGGCATGCAGCATTTTATTATCACATTCAGTTTTACAAATGCAATCCACATTGCTATTTTTATTTCATATTTCCCCCTGTATTATAGGCAGAGGTATAGAATTCAAAGAGACCTATTTTCTTTTCTGAAACGGTATGGGTGTGAAACCCTTCAATGCCAAATATTAAATGAGATAGAAAAGGCTGTGGAATGATTACAGGATAGGAATGTGTCATCACATATAAAAACGCACGACAAAATACAGCAACGAAACTATTATAACATTACAAGATGCTGGCATTTCAGTAATACATTTTGTTGATCAATTTTTAAGCAAGTAAGGTATTCCGAAGAAAGAAGAAACGTGATAGCTTGTAACAATCAAAAGATGTAATAACTAAAACAATACTACTTATAATATAGTCATTAAATTAGGCAGCTTTGCAAAAAAATCACAGCTACTATCTGCATTGGGGTGGACACATGGTGCAGTGGTTTGTGCATCACATGATTAACTCAGCGAGCCGAGTTATATCAATGTTCATAGCCATGACATCAGTGGCAGTAATGATGTAGCGATAACCAGGAAGATAACTCAGCTTACTTGGTTGATAAGTGGCCACAATGCAGTGACGGTAACCATGGCGCATCACCACCGTCACAAACATGGAGCTGGTTACTGACCCCACACAAGGACTTATGGGGTTTGACCTACCCAGGAAACAGGGGTCAGCTCTAAATCGCTTCATTGATGGAAAATGAAGAACAGTCGGCAATGTGACTGCAGTCGCGAGAGCCAGACCATGGATCACGTGATCCCACACTGCCTGCACCGCTGATTCATGGCCAATGTGACCGACATCCACCAAGCCTCCACAGAGGCTACTGAATGGCTTAATAACCTCGATGTGCACACAGATAACGTTTCTCATTTCGCCTTGCCATGGAATATGAAAATAAGTGGCAGTCACATCTGAACTGGTCCTAGTCTTCCCCTTCAGCGACCTATACTGACCGACATTGGGGAGTATGGTCAAGCAATTCGCATGGCAGACAGACATGTCGTGGGAAGGCCTTCATCCAGTACTAGACTGATAAGGAGCTTATAATTATGCATATGTATTGTGTTATACAGTATTACTATTACATCATAATGAGAATGTGGACTAAAATCCAAAGTAAAACAAAAAAACAGTACTCTATTTATGAAAGATCAACAATATCTTGTTGATGCCGCTGCTGGTGGAAAGGCCTCAACGAGAGGAAACTCTACAGAGCCCCTCTATCGGGTGTTTTGGTCTACTCTTGCTGACCAGGAGTTTTGTGTAAGAGCTGGAAGTACTTCCTGTGATTCACCCAGCTATCCTGCTGGGTGGACAGTGGTGGGATAGATTCATTCAATGCGCACATTGTTTCAAATTCCACAGAGAGGGATTGAACCAGCGACCTCTGAATTGAAAGTCGCTAACTATGGCAGCATCTTCTTTACGACCATGCAAAAAATATACTTTAAATATTTGAAAGTCCACCTTTGTCCCTTACAGATCCCTTGCCTTGTTTCCATCCGACACTATTTAAATTTGATGATAAATGATTAATCCTCCTTGAATAATATTCAGCGGCGTGTTGATCAGGGCGCATGTGAATATACATTTGGCACGATATCTACAGAATGTGGTTTCTGGGAGTATAAGCCTTTGTAATTTCCCGAAACCCTATCCCGGAACCGAGTTTTGTTTGCCTTGTTTTTTCTTGCACAGAATGTGAACGATGAGCCTCCCGTGTGTGACCCGGGCATCTATGATATCACTATTTACTCCACGCTGGCAGCAGGAGGATCTGTTGTACAGCTTAAGTGTGATGATGTGGACTCTCTTGATGGTGAACTTGAGTATGGAATTGTCGGTGGTAAGCAACGCTTGTTGCATCTTTATAATTTTGAAGTGTATATTTATAATTTTGAAGTGTATATGCTTTTATATGCGCGAGAGCAACAAGTACACAAAAATTTGGTTAAAAAAACAACAAGCCATGGCCTCTGCCATTCTACACAACACTGATAAATGTGTAAGCTATATTTGATTCTCCACAACAGCCTGCAATGTTTCATTTAATGTCATCCACATTAAGCAGCCTATTTCATTCTTAATCTGATAAAAAATAAATCTGATATGATACAAGAAAAAGATTGGTATACACCTCAAATTGTGACATCACAGGAAATCACACCACTTACATTCTATCACTGTTTGACTTTTCCTACCAAAATTTGGTGTCACTTGGTGAGCACAAGGACAATCGAAATTATAACTCAATGTAAATTATCCGGAAATCTTAAAATCCAGAAAATATCTTAAATTGTTCTTTACAAAATAATAGTCAGAAAAAATTAATGTTTGATTCCAAAACGCAATTCTAGATTGTACCAAATCTGTGAACTGTAGGTACCACTAATGGGTGCTTTATGGTGACTACATTTCCACCAATCATATAAACTCTGGAAACGTTCAGCTATTGTCAACTGGTTGAAGTTACTGACTGATACACATTACTTGAATTATTTTGGTTTAACACGTAGGCTCTTGCGACCAATATCATCCATAATAGAGGGAGGGGGGGGGGGGTTGAATTATGATAGGAGCACAAAAAAACACTACTAACAAAATACTCAACACACATCGTCTATAAAACTCTCTGACCTCGCCATTTATGAAGAAGGCACATTGCCCGAAACGTGATGTATTATGTTCCTTTGAGGGCAGTGTTATTGATGAATGTCGAGTTCATGTGTTTTGTTATTTACAATTAATTTGGCTTATTTGTGCTGTCCAAAAGAAAATATGATTTACAGACAGTAATGAACTATCTTTGCATGATATATAAAATACTGTATGTCCTCCTCGTGCGGCTTTAATGGAGGAAATAAACATACATTGAAAGTTATTTAAAAAAAAATATTTACAGTATTTGTTAAATTTAATAATCTACTTGTCATCTGTCTATGAATTCATGATGTCAGGTTTATTAAAATCAGGACTTTATTACTTGAATTTTCATTCAGGACCCATTTCCCACCATTACACAAAGGATTAACATATCACAATACAGTATTTTCATCAAATTCGCTGTCCCACACCAGGTAACACAAACGGCCGTTTCGTGCTGTCCAATGCAAAGCCACCTTCGGTATTGACTCTGTCAACGTTCAGCTACTTTAATCTTGGTGGCATCAATGATCCCCAAGACTTCCAGCTGCTGGTGAAGATCAGTGATGAGGGTTTAGCTGCAGACAAGACGAGGAGACTGAGCAGCACAGCCACTGTCCTCATCCACGTGGTTCCCTGGATCACAACGGCCCCCACTACCGTCACCACCACAGTAAGGCCATTCAGCAGAGACTGGCACTATTGGCACTCTGTTCCCTGTGTGTACTTGTGTGCCCATCGTGTTTACACTGTGTCACTATGGCAATACACTCTGTTCCTGTATCTTATTTTATGTAATGTTGATTTTGTGATTTCGTGATCCTGTGGGTGTAGACTGTGGGTATAATAATTATCTCCCCTCACTGTTCAATTCATTGTCGCGATTCAGGGTCGAAATTTTATCCAAGAATATTTTTTTGTATTCTCTGGTGCATGTAGCTGGCTCTTGTGTCATTAGTGGCCACGAGAGTCCATTACATATGAACTGCAGAAAATCGATACTTACACACACGATTCGATGCATGTATATCATGAGCTTAAGATCGAGGCATCGGTACACCGATGGAGTACATTAAGTCCTCAATGTCCCTCCATACATGACCCTGTGTCCCTGCGTGTATGTACTATATTCCTGTGTATATCTACAACTCCTGAAATATCCTATAATGATCCAAAACATATTTTGGTAACTACTGTCAATTTTTACAATCTTTTCGCGCTACCTATTCTGCTGCACAGCTAACTGTATTATAAACATCTTATAATGCCATCATCGTCCGGATACATTCTAAAATAGTTTCGCACGACTCACAGACGTTGATGACTCCCTTGGGCAGAGCACGGTCTGACTGGCAATTACTTAGAAAAGGGCCGACTGGCGAGGGGCTCAGAAGGGTCATTTGAGGTGCCCCACTGAGAGAAATACAATTTCATCATTTCCAGGATTATTATCTAACGAACTACACTCGATCTAAATATGATAGCAAAAAAAAACCAACTCACCCAGTTTCCACCCAGATACACCCCCGATATACCCCACTCACACCCCAGATATACCCCAGACACACAGGCAAAGCATTCTGTGAATGTCCCGATATTCAGAGATTCTATCATTTAATAACCTGCTACCTTAACCATACATACATACACCAGGCTCAGCATTTACTCTCCGCTCGCTGGACACCTCTCTCTCTCCTTGTCCTGAAAGTCCCAGAAATATAGAAAGGTGCAAACACCCTCGTTAGGGATATCCAACGTAACAGCCAAGAGAACAATTATAGCCAATTGACAAACACACACTCCCCCCCCCCCCCATCTATGTAGACCTGGGCGAACATGCTGGATACAATATCGGCCGAGGATACCAGAGTGCCAGATTGAGGGCAAATCGTAGAGTGCCAAGCCATTTGGAAACCCTATACAGTCGATCATCGATTACCCGGCTGCTTCCAACATTATTCGGCAGTCCCAGGTCGATCCGGCGAAACCGGCAAAACCGCTCCAAAGGGCTGTAACCAGTCCGGCTATCCGCACCATGTGAGCGACAAAAGAAAGAGTAGTTTAACACGTAGGAGGCTTTTGCGACCAATATCATCTATGACGTTTTTTTTTAAGGTTAGATCGCGTAAGGGGCCGTCCATAAATGACGTCACGCGATTTTGGACGATTTTTGACCCCCCCCCCTCGTCACGGCGTCTCAAAAAGTCAGACCCCCCCCCCTCCAATATGACGTCACAAAGCTCTACCCCCCCCAAAAATATATTAAACATGCTTAAAATCGCTTTAAAGTATTGTCATTGTAGTGCGCATTTAATGTGCCGCTGCACTCTGATGTTGTAGGAGAAAACATTGATCAAAAAGTATATTTAATTAAGTAGAACATGTTGTGTATATTTATTTAAAGTTGCGCATTTTCATGTGACGTCACATTTCTCAACCCCCCCCCCCCCCTCGTCACACATCGTCACAAATGTCTGACCCATAAATATGAATGTGCCGTTTGTCACGTAAACAAAACGTACCAAAAACTAATTGGCACGTTTTGTTTACGAGACAAACCTTCCTAGTTGGCTGTGTGGGGTGGTGGTAATTACTGCGTGCATCACACCCCGATGCAGCCTTCGAGATTAGGGTGTGTAAATATGGTACGGTGAAAACGGTAACTTAAAAAAGGGATATTTGTTTTCGTGTATTTGTATGTTTATTTATGCCACTTTCATCGAGTAAACAAATTTAAAACACAACTAAAAACATAAACACAACACATGACAACACAATGTCTTTGCAGAATGTGCAAAAATAAGCGATTTAAAATTATGAGTGAAAACCCGACGTCCCCTCCCCCAACTCAGCCGCCGAATAATCGATGATCAAATGTATAGACTCCCCCACCAATAGGCCTTGACTAAATCACAGATACCCCCACGCCCTCTACCTCTGTTTTACCCCCCACACCCTATGTTTTCCCTCTTTACTTTTCTCCCTCCTTACGTTTTACTTCATCGCTCGGAGACACCTCACAAAGGGCTGAGCAACTCATTACTTCAAAAGTCACGAACTAAAACGCAGAATCAGAGGGTCCATATAAACTTTGTTCATTAAGCATATCATGCCAACTGCATTGTGGTGTCCAGATATAATTATAATAAAAAAAAACTGTTTTTGATAATGTTACCAGACTTGTGCCACCTTCATGAAGCATGATGTACATTAAATTAGACATTTAATATACCTTTGATTTCTAATGTCAACGTCTAATGCTGCAAAATAGCACGTGAGTAGAGTTTTCAAAATGCATTTTGAACAAGCATGCGTTCCAATCCCGGTCGACGGTCGACACAGCCCTTCATACCTCGCGGGTCGATCAAATTGGTACCGCTTTGTGGAGGAAGTCAACGAGAATCGTGCTGTAGGGAGACACCTCGAGCCCTTAATGTGGACTTTCCACCACGGGAGAACAGCACTGCCCCCACATTTACTTAAGTGGGAAACCGCTTAAATGTCAGCGTGAATACCAGGGTCTAATTTGTAAGTTAGTCTCATCCAACCTTGTGCACCAGTCAATGACATTTGTGTAACATTTGTTACAATACATTTATTTTAATTGACACTTCTCTGTTTTTTTTATTGCTCTAAAATGTTGCATTTTCAGGTTTTCACGACAAGAATCATTACCATATTTGACTACTACTGGAAGCCTGATAGCTGGTTTATTGCAGTGATGACAATCATTGCACTGGCACTTTTGGCAATCATTGGTTTGATTTCATATTTCTGCTGGAAAGGGTATGAGCATGCCATTGTGCAACCTTCGGACGATGTAATAAAATGTATAAGTATCACTGATAAATGATCTACATGTGAACGAATGTTTACAAAACAAATTTGTAATACCTATAACACACTTGCCCAAATCGTATATTCTTACCAGCAATATTGTGTTTGTCACAGCCATTAGTGTAAATATTGTAAGTTGTAAATATTAGCACGAGACATAACTTACGTAAATCGTACTTGTTACACATGCATTCATATATTATATGTTGAGAGCTAGTAAACAACATTAACTTTTTAACACTGTTAAATCAAACGATTTTTGAGTAATAATTTCGAAATATCAGCTCCTGTGATAAATATCATGTTGAGGACAGTGCTGTGGAATTGTGGCAAGAAATAATGGTGCGTAGCAACTTTCTTGGACATTAAGAAGGGCAATTCGCCATTGTGCTTTTTCTGAAATTTGCATTGCAAAGTGCTGATAATTAAACGGTTGCACATGGTTGTTACAAATTATATTAGAGCATTGTTGAAGATGGTAGCATTGTCTACAACTTTAAAAATTATTTTACTTACGTTTTCCAAAAAGCAAACATTTAATTCTTCCTGAACGTGAAATTAATGTCTGGCCTGCTTTAAGCTCTCCCATGGATTGGAAGATACAGTGAGGGAAAAAAGTATTTGATCCCCTGATGATTTTGTACGTTTGCCCACTGAAAAAGAAATGATCAGTCTATAATTTTAATGGTAGGTTTATTTGAACAGTGAAATACAGAATAACAACAAAAAATCCAGAAAAACGCATGTCAAAAATGATATAAATTGATTTGCATTTTAATGAGGGAAATAAGTATTTGACCCCTCTGCAAAACATGACTTAGTACTTGGTGGCAAAACCCTTGTTGGCAATCACAGAGGTCAGACGTTTCTTGTAGTTGGCCACCAGGTTTGCACACATCTCAGGAGGGATTTTGTCCCACTCCTCTTTGCAGATCTTCTCCAAATCATTAAGGTTTCGAGGCTGACGTTTGGCAACTCGAACCTTCAGCTCCCTCCACATATTTTCTATGGGATTGAGGTCTGGAGACTGGCTAGGCCACTCCAGGACCTTAATGTGCTTCTTCTTGAGCCACTTCTTTGTTGCCATGGCCGTGTGTTTTGGGTCATTGTCATGCTGGAATACCCATCAACGACCCATTTTCAATGCCCTGGCTGAGGGAAGGAGGTTCTCACCCAAGATTTGACGGTACATGGCCCCGTCCATCGTCCTTTTGATGCGGAGAAGTTGTCCTGTCCCCTTAGCAGAAAAACACTCCCAAAGCATAATGTTTCCACCTCCATGTTTGACGGTGGAGATGGTGTTCTTGGGGTCATAGGCAGCATTCCTCCTCCTCCAAACACGGCGAGTTGAGTTGATGCCAAAGAGCTCCATTTTGGTCTCATCTGACCACAACACTTTCACCCAGTTGTCCTCTGAATCATTCAGATGTTCATTGGCAAACTTCAGATGGGCATGTATATGTGCTTCCTTGAGCAGGGGGACCTTGCGGGCACTGCAGGATTTCAGTCCTTCTCGGCGTAGTGTGTTAGCACTTGTTTTCTTGGTGACTATGGTCCCAGCTGCCTTGAGATCATTGATAAGATCCTCCTGTGTAGTTCTGGGCTGATTCCTCAACGTTCTCATGATCATTGCAACTCCACGAGGTGAGATCTTGCATGGAGCCCCAGGCCGAGGGAGATTGACAGTTCTTTTGCGTTTCTTCCATTTGCGAATAATCGCACCAACTGTTTTCACCTTCTCACCAAACTGCTTGTAGCCCATTCCAGCCTTGTGTAGGTCTAAAATCTTGTCCCTGACATCCTTGGAGAGCTCTTTGATCTTGGCCATGGTGGAGAGTTTGGAATCTGATTGATTGATTGTTTCTGTGGACAGGTGTCTTTTATACAGGTAACAAGCTGAGATTAGGAGCACTGCCTTTAAGAGACACCTGGGAGCCAGAAATCTTTCTGATTGAGAGGGGGTCAAATTCTTATTTCCATCATTAAAATGCAAATAAATTTATAACATTTTTATCATGCGTTTTTCTGGATTTTGTTGTTATTCTGTCTCTCACTGTTCATATAAACCTACCATTAAAATTATGGACTGATCATTTCTTTGTCAGTGGGAAAACGTACAAAATCAGCAGGGGATCAAATACTTTTTCCCTCACTGTATACTGCAAGGTATAAGACCCTGCTCACATTGCAGCAACATATCACGTCAAAATCCATAAACATAATTACATATGCATGCTCCACTATTGTGTGTACACATGCCTAAAGATGTATACAATTAGATAACTTGAATAAAATATTACTTTAAAAAAGTTAGTATGTGGATTATTTGCTGTGGTAAACTATGTATATTTTCATAAATATCTCGCAGCAGGTAAGCCAATGATTGAACAGGGAAGCCATCTCTCGTGCAGAAAATATATTTATATTTCACATCTATATTAACGCAAAGTATCACCATCAAGTGGAAAGCTTTTTATATTAATGGTCCTTCATAAATATTACAGTGGTGTAGTTTTACAGACATGTTTCTTCCAAAGGAGTCTGTTTCCCGCCACCACAGTGATATATATCACGAAAACACAATACATCCATCAACAACATTGAGTTGTAATAGAAATCTATACGGTAAACTAATAATTTGGTGATAGAGCATTGGAATTGGTGCATAAGCATAAACAATTCGAACATGAATATAAATAGTAGCCTGACACTTGCCAGTGGCTCTTTGTTTTGTGTGCTTGCAGACCACTGACAGTGCATTCCCTTAATTGTTTTCTTTATTCTGTGCGTTCCATGTTTGTGCCCCAGCATGCCCTGCTGTTGGAAGTTCTGCAAGCCCTCGCCATCTGTAAAGGACCCACCGCTGCTGAAGGCCGATGAGTCAGTGCTTGCTACATCTCAAGTTCCTCGCGCAACCACACTTCTAACGTGTGCCGTTAAATCCTACTTTGAAAGAAACCCTTCAAAATGTAGCTCTTGCATTAAAAACACTGGGGAAGTGTTGCCGTGCTGTGATAGCACACCGGACCTGCAATGCAGAGGTCGCCAGTTTGACCTCCTAGCATAGCATTTGAACAAAAGGAAAGTTTCTCATATCCCGCACACATCGATCCGCCCAGCAGTATAAATGGGTACACGACAGTTAGTCGATGTGGTGGGGTATAGTTGGGGTAATGACGAAGCCTTCCAAGATGTCAGGCATGGCTGCACCTTTACCTGTTCACCTATTAAAACAACACTTGAATAGTTATACTAATAGGGTTTTTTCCCCTTTTTTCTGGCAACAAAACTGAAACCCTTTTTAAGAGGAATCACGTGTGCATTAACCACAATACTTGTCAAAATGCAAACAAGAAAACACTGATAATATATGCATTGTCCTTGAAACCGATTGGTCCACAACAGAGACGGCTTTCTTTTGAGCCTCGTCTCAATTGGTGCTAGACCAGATGACGCCAAAAGGCGTACAGCTCAAAAACAATGCCACTATCAAAGTAATGAGGGCTCGGGGTGAGCATCTACAACTTGAATAGTTAGTTAACTCCTATTGTACCGCTGCTCAATATATCCAAGCTGTCTTACAGCATTTGCGTTGCATCGTAATATGTATTGTCTGTAATATGCTCTATATGTTTGCCTTGTATGTTGACATGCTTTTAGTATTTAGATGCTTTAAAACGTCAAATTTCAATCGTCCCTTGAAATGTTTACTTAAGATGTTCAACTTTTAAACGTACACTTTATATAACCAATGAGACATTAACTGAACACAATGCAATGAAAATATTATGCATCATGACAATGATTATCCCAGAGAGAGCCTCAATGAGTCTCAAAACTTTTCCAGGAGGCATTGTGGTGATTTATCCTTCAAACAATGTTTGTGTAAAATGAAGGTTTGTGCGATATTTGGAACAGGTTAACCGACGAATCCAGTTCATCTCAGAAGGAAAAAGCTCACAAAAACGTGCCAAAACCAGCAAGTAGCCCTGTAAGCAATCTCTACCTGGCAAATCATCAAAATGTAGTAATGTGATTGCACACACACCATTGTATATTGTGTATATTATATACCTCCTAAATGTTTAATTGCTTTGATTTACACGTTACAAAAAATGACTTTTCTTTTACTGTAGGAGTTTGATGGAAGAGCAAGAGATCCAAGTAAGATCATTTTGTTGCAGTTTAAACTCCATACACAACCTGCGTACCTGTACACAATAATAAGCAGCGTTTGGCTGCGTATAACTTTGCAAATCGACTATATTAAATAATTGTTGATCCAGTAAAGGATTACAACATTTTACAAATACAGCATTTTGACTGCTTGTGTTGCGGTTATTGCAGACATGATGCCTTGAATAAAGGTGTCAGTTTTTTGTGCCAGTTAAAAGGGTAAAACCTATTACTATACTACACTTAAACTATTGTAGGTGGTGGCGTGGTGGCGCTATGGTTAGCCCACTGTGTGTTGAATCTAGTCAAGTAAGATTGATATCCAGCCTTGGCTAACGTGATTGGTGAGTGATATCTGAACCTGTCCTGGGCCTTCCCCTTCGCTAACCTATGCCGACCAGAATGGTGAAGTATTATTCAACCACCTTCATGCTGTGTAAAGTGTTAGAAGGCTTTTATTCAGCAATGGCTGTAATTTGTGTATAGTATTTACAAAAAAAAACTATCATAATATAGTTGATGAGAATAACATTTTTATTTAATTCCCAGCGAATAAAGAGATTATGCAGGAAAAAAATGTGTTAATGATGCATTGTACTAAAGTACTGTACTTTTATTTACATGAATTTCTTAATTTACAGTGACGGGAAATGAATATCTTTTCAACTCAGTTACTGGACAAAGGCGCTGGATTTAAGCTTAAGATTCCTTTTGTGTGCAAGTATAATCCAAAGGATTCGACTCATAGATGTCATCATTCTAATATATATTTTGCATGGTGGATTGAATTACAGTGGGTATTTGACAATATATTTAACACAAATTATATATTCTGCAATCACAAAAAAGAATGTAACCTATTTTTAAAAGGTAAGTTAAATGACCAATATATGGCCCCATTTAAAGTACGAGTAATGGAAAGTCACCTGTAAACAAATTTATGTTTTTTACCACCCATGCACTTTACTGTATGAAATGTGTGTACTTTTGTGAAATTGACCAATCTATTTTCTTATTTTCATGTTCAAAAATTAAAATGATCATTTTTGCCATGGATTTGTTTTCATGAGATTGTTTTTCTTCGAATGTGTAGCCAAACACCTTTTCATTAGCTGTAACTACTACACTGTAATAAAAAAAACACACACTTCAAAGCACTGTAATCTAACGTTCGATGATGAAAAATATCCATATTTAACTTCTAAAGCATTTTGTCCCTCCTCCCTTTACGAATATCATTCGTGGGAGGACCTATCAGATGGGGGCATAGCCACTGGGTGGCGTGGGTGGACGGACACCCCCAACATTGTTCGACATGGCTAAGAGACACCCACTTAAGGACAATAATCACGGTATCTTTGAGTCCAAGTTTCTCTTCTCATGTCGACGTCAGTACCTTTGAATACCCAGCAGCACACGAAAAGTTGACATTTAGATTAAATAATATAAATTGTATTCCAGACAGGCGGTTGAACCCACGGATTAGACAGCACACGCATGTCAATGACATCATCACAACTATTTCGATAAACAATTGTGGCTTGGGCAGGATAAACATGGCAGGTAAGCAATGGACCTCATTTCAAGAGGATGTCCGCCGAGGAGATGGAAGAATGAGATCAGTTCGAGTGCGAGATGGACCGTTGCATTGCTCGATCGTGAGAGGTGGCGGTGGCTTGTGGAGGCCTTCATCCAGCAGTGGATTGATCATGGCTGACGGTGACGATGACAGTAGAACTCGCACCTCCGATTACCGCGGTTGGCTGTGTACGGTGCGAATTAAGTTCAACATACATACAACTCCTCTTATCTCTGATAAAGTGGGGAGCGAATTTCTTACACTGCAATCTAGCCAATAACTAACAGGAATCATTCGATTGGAGGCCACATCCAACTTACAACGGGTGGCCGTGCTTCTGCTGCCGACATTTGTCATTAAGATCAATTGTACTTTGCTGATCCAGTGACTTTTTAAAGTATACCCCTATTTGTTTAAAGTAAATGTATATATGTGATGATATTGGAAAAATCCTTTGAGACGACTTTTAAGTAGCCAAAATTTGTAATAATGTGAATGTATTTTAATGATAATTTTTTTTTTCAAAATAAAGAACATTCGAAATTGATGTCTCAAAACATTGTGCCCGAGCATTTTTTATATAGTTAATTATCATATTGTGCGGTTTGTGAAACATGTAAATATTAAACTACAACAAACTAAATTGAAGTTTCATCTCTTCATTTGTGGCAACATCACGATGCACTTCTACCAATGACATTCAATCGAAGCAAAAATCAAGCAAAGTATATAGTTCGCTGGGTAAACATTGTAATATATGTCAAAACAATATATAAATGACCATAATAATAATAGACAAAAATATTTAATGAACTAAAGAAATATCGTTATTGCGATACTGCTGTTAGAGCGATACTGCTGTTGTGAAACTCACGTAGGTAAAAATAAAAAGTCACGACGTTTCGGCCACAACACAAGTGGCCTTCATCGGGTGAAGGGACCGGACTGTCCAGAGGACAGCGTTGGAGTGAAAACGCTGTCCTCTGGACAGTCCGGTCCCTTCAGCTGATGAAGGCCACTTGTGTTGTGGCCGAAACGTCGTGATTTTTGTTATTTTTTTTTGACCTACGTGACTTTACCGAATAGAACCAAAGAGTATGGATCCTTGCAGTCACGAAAGCTTCAAATCTAGAATGGTTGTGAAACTGTTAGCACGCTGGATTTGCGATGCAGGGAAGTTGCAGGTTTGATTCGTTATCTCGACGCAGCATTTGATATAATGGGCGCGTTTATCAAATTCTCCTGCCCCTGTCCACTCAGCAGGCTGGAAAGTGGGAGAGTAGGCCAGTACTCTTCAGAGATGTTCTCTCGAGCTCCCCCGATTCGTGGCCCTTCTGCCAGCATAGGTTTCAGTAAGCCATTCCAGAGCTGCACCTTCACCTTTTTGTTTAATATCAACATGATCATATCACGAACACATAACTATGGGGCCAAAGGCAGCATCGTGACCGTACACGCAACTCTGAGCCTGCTTTAAAGAATCTCCTGTTGGTTTTACGCAAGTGCAAACACCATTGCAACAAAACCTGTGAGCACATGGCAGGTCTTTACTCAAGTAACGGCAGTCCAAATACTGAGCGGACGGAATAAAACAGGTATTGGATTGTGAAAATACAACAGCGCTTTCTGTCCAGGGAATGGTGTCCGTGTGTTTAAATAAATACGGACGGAAGTAGCGTCCGACCCGGGTCTCCGTGAGACCTGTTGACGGACGTGTTGCGTGACCCATTTTAGAGGTTTGCGAATGGCCACATATAAAAGGGTGCTTGTGCAAGATCAGTTTGTTTATTAGCACCTTGGCAGAGCGGTGGACTGCACATGTGATGCCTGTGACAGCATGTACAGCACGATGAGTAGAGGTCCATGTGAACGCTTTCCTATGCCCATCATTGCCTGGTGTTTTCTGATTTTCAGTGGTAAGTATTATTGTTATGACATCTACTAATGATATGTGCTTGAGCACATCCAGTAGGCCAAAATATTACGAATGTTAGTGGTTCGTATTGAAATATTTAAACGTGCATTAATTACCTGAGTCTTCAATGCAGTTGACAAATATTTGTGAGTTGACAGAAGTTATTTATTGGTAGGCAATGGGTATCAAATAAGGGTTGATTTGATGTTCTTAAAATCCCTCAGTTTTCTCAGGCTCACCTATTGTAACACGTGATTTCCAACTGTAAGTACAATAAACATCTCTGCCCTCTCTGTTCTAAAGAATGGCCAATGCCCAACATGTCAGACCACAATGTTTTTCTGTTTTAGGCCGGTCCTGATGACAAATGTTCTGAGTTTTTTTGGTTTGTGCTTGTAAACCACTGGCAACACGTGGCCTTAATGTTTTGTGTGTATTCTCATGGGAACTTATATGTTAAATGCCAGTATTCTGAAATAGTATACTTCAAACTTTGACTGAGAATGTGTGTTTTTTTATGCTTAGGTCTGTCTTCAACACATGCTGTTCTTAGTAAGTATCATCATTTAACTTCGATTTCATTAACACGATCATGTTTTGCTTCATGTAGTTTGCTATTATGTATATAACTGCATTTAATTGAAAAAGGTACATATATATTAATCAACCAGCTTTCATATTCTTCATATGCCATTTTTAAATGTCACGTCATAGTTCAAGGCACATTTAAGCAACTGTATCACGTAAACCAGAATTTGGCAATGCATAAAACGTAGCGCTATTGCAATCTGATGGACAGAATGAAAGAATAATCATACATTGGCGATCACGTTGTGTGTATATTTTTAAGTTATCTTCAATAGCGCATTTTATTATTATTATATACCCTTTTGTTAATCAATTCAATGTGCTCTGTTGAATGATTATCTTTTTAACCAGCGTTTACCTGGACGCCAAGTGTGGCGTATCTGCAAGAAAACAGTCCGAACCTAGCAATCGTGGCAAACATTAATGTCACTTCTGATACGCAAAACATCAACGGCCTTGTGTTCACTGTGACACCACCAGGGCCCTTTCAGTTAATTGATAACACGCCTTCTGCACCAGGATTTAGCTTCATCGGACAGGTACAATTTGTTCTAAAATTTGTAACGCGGCATTTGATTTCACCACAGCAATACACAGGCCTGGTGCATTTTGAAAAGGCACCGTGGCTAATACATTTGTCACTCAGTAAGGGGTCATTCATAATAATGTTTGCTTCCACAAGTGTACATGCCACACGTTTTAGTTGCCTTTGCAAACTGGATAGTGTTAAACAAAAAATCAGATGGAATGGGTAATTTACTGATTGCATATCACAGCTTTGGCCGGGCCACCATTGAAAGACAGCTTCTTAGCTCAATGGGCCTTACCTGAAATAAACTAAGATGACAATAGCTTACAATGTGGTTGTCATTGACATTTTTGAAGCAGCAGATTGCATATGATTGAAACTAATCCAGATCATACACATCCGGGGCTATCTGTCGCTTGTTACGAATGGCCTAATTTGTCACAATGGCTTTAGCACCATTTCCTTTACTCGAACGTCTCAAATGGGTGTTGCCGTTACTTTTCTTTTAAAAGCCACGGAAGTCTCATACATGCAACGCAATCTTAATGCGTGCAACGTGACATAGGTCTGCTTGAATACTGGATGCCTGATTGTGTGTGCCACTGCAGACTTGATACTAAACCAGGGGTCGGCAACTTTCGTCTCCGGAGCTGCATGCGGCGGCTCTTTGGGCTTCCCCCTTCCGGCTCTTTGACGGACCCCCATGCAGGCATCCGTAAATCTTAAAACATAATTTAACGTGAAGCTAAATTAATTCGATATGGCGAGGAACGGGTCACCATGGAATGTGTTGGTGATGACAAAATGTTCAACAGTCAAAGTGTATTGTTAAAGGATAACCAAGGGGGCCAGGGGGGATAAACAACTAAATAGGCGAAGTTTTGTCCATCGCCGATGTTACTTATGTATTTCAATGTATTTGTCACCTGCTATGTTTCTTTACGTGTACAAGTAGCTCTGCGTGTGATGTAGCTCTCAAACTATTTTGGTCAAAGGCAAAAACAAAGTCTCTTCTTGCCTGAACTAAACTCATCAAACACAACTGGTTATCTGATTGCGGCAAATACATTTTGTTTGTTGGTTATTGTCACTGCAAAAAATATAAAATATTATACACAAATGTGTTCGGCTGTGTCAGAAGCTACCGATTCTTAATTATAACTACCATTGCAAACCATGTCTTGTTTCCAATAACAACCAGGTGATCCTCAACAGTGCCATTGGTGGTCATCTGGACTATGAAACATTGAATCTATACCAACTGACTGTGTCAGCTCAGGAACCAGTAGGGACAACGGTGAGCTCAAGCATCTATATCAATGTGACGAATGTCAATGAGGCCCCAACATGCAATGGCGTCTTCTCAGCACCAGGTCAGACTCGTTTCTTCAATTTAGCAGGACAGATTCATAAAGATCATTACCACCATATCATTTTCTTCTCCTTCGTATGGCTCATGTTGATGCAGAGCAACTGCCATAATGTTACATATCCAGGAAGAGGCTATTGCAATTCACCTTCGTACATAGTAGTATGCATGAAATAATGGCATGAAATGTAAAGAAAGCAGGATATAACCTTAGATTCACAAACTTGCAGCAATTGCAAACCTAGATGTATTCTGTGAACAATATTAATCTATGATTCATACACTCGTTATTGTTTGTTTTTCAGTTGCGTACAATATCAGCAAGTGCCACCGAATCAATTAAAATAAACACATGTTTTAAATATAATATTGTAGCAAAAATAATAAGTATAATAACGAGTACAATTAAATAACTATGACTGGCCTGTATCACCACGATAAAGGTGCATTTAAAACGAGCATATCTAAGATAATTAATTACGTCACATTACATTTGTATTCAGTTCCTGCTAATTGCTGCTGCATTGTGGGCGCACATTCACGCCATCTCACCACCTACTTTGTAGCGCGCGACTGGAGGACATTTTCAGAATATCTGGCAACTGCCTGATGATGCTGGTCGTAACTACCGGCGAATCGACGAATCCAATTATTAAATGTTGCTATGAATTGCTCTCCAACATCTGTGTGCTGAAGCAGTAATACATTGGCACGATTGTTCACGTGATATTAATCAGCTGTGTTGCGTGGAGGAGGGTATACAACAACATGCTACTTACGCGATCTCAATATTGGTCGTGCAAGCCTTCATGTAGAATTATAATAACTTTTAACTTTAAGTCCATTGTAAATCCAGTGCTGGATGAAGACATCCTCATACCTTGTCAGTCGTGAAGGTTGGTTGTTTCACCATACTTCACCGTGCTGATCAGTGTGTGTTTGTGAACGAGAGAACAAACAGCAGTTCTAAATCACTCGCAGCTGATATCAGCTGTGGCTGGGAATAGAACTCTGGTCGCTGGATTAGTAACACACTGCGCTGACCACTGCACCAATACTTAACCCCGAACTCAAAGTATTACAATAATGATAATAAATGTTTGTGTAATACGTATCGTGTGAGACGTGCACTCCCATGTCAGATGGGTATCTTCACCATACGATGACATGGTGAGATTGCATTGGCTTGGAGAGAACTTCATCCAGCAGTGGATGGATCATGGCTGCCGATGATAGCAATCATATACATGTGTACGTTTGAACATACACTCATTCTACCCCATGGCTTGCACGTTGTAATGTTAAGGAGCTACGATTCGCGTTCGAGAGGATGAACAACCCAACGCGGTCATCTATCGGGTGCCAGCCACTGACCAGGATGCAGGTGACACGTTAACTGTAAGGACCCCCAGTGGCAAAAGTGCTTGCCATGCTGCACACAGAGTGCTCACACTATCGCATGGATAGGAAACTCCCTGCTCTCAAGGGACACTTGCCGTTTTAGACAATGGGGGTTTGTATAGGTAATTAATTGCACCCCCCTTGCTAGATATCACTGCCGCACAGGCAAAGTACGAATTTTGAATGGAATTTCTCCATGTCGTTCCCATTCACTTCCTGTCCATGTGTGTCTCTCCACGTCTCGGTATTTGTCTCTCCGTGTCTCACTATACGTATCTATTAGCTTCTTCTCGACTTTGATGCTCTAGATTGGTTTATCCACATTTCCCTGCGTTTCTGTGTATATCTGTTCCTCGCCCTATCATATATCTGGTTGCTCTCCCCTTGTCTCTCCATGTCTTTCTGTCACATTCCCTGCATTGCTGTTATTTTTTCTCCATCTCAATGTGCCACTCTGTGTCTCTCCATGTGTGTGTGTGTGTCTATTCTGCCACTGTCATTGCCATCATCACCAATAATCATAAACCGCCATGCTCGGTCATCGTTGTCATCGCCCTACTCAGCGCCGCCTCCAGAAAAGGAACATTCACAGCATCGCCATCTCACCTTCTTCTGCACGTACCAACAAGGTGTCTGCCGTCCCACTGCCATCTCAGCGGGCTATACGAGGTCACCAATTAAAGCACTGGACTGTAATTAGTACTGGGCAGAAAGACAGAAGGGTGATTGAAGAAACCTGAATACGCCAGTTAAACTGTGAAACACATTTAAAATAAAGGGAATATTGAAATTGTATGGGGACTGCCTCGGTGATTTGTAGTTCGGCACACAAACATTTATCGCATTTGTTTGATCTCCAAAATGAAACAATGTTCCAACATTCAATGCACATTTCGGATCAGTGTACCCCAGAAACATTTCTTTAAAAAAAAGAAAGCCTTGGAATGGTTTATAAATGTAATAATATTTAAATCTGCCCACGTGAAAATGTTTCTAATGTGGTTTGCATTGATGGAGGAATCCCATGACACATTGCTAAATGTTGTTTCTCGCTTACTTTGCTTGATCAAGATGTGCTTTTAAAACTTCATCAGAAACTGTTATTGGACTTTTTCCCTAGTTCACCTGGTTATCAGTCGTTCCAGCAAGTGGTGCTACACGGCTACAATTTAATACGCTCAACGGTGTTATCAGGGTCCCAGCCACTGGCTTCGACTATGAAGTGGACAAGGTCAGTCAAATTCTAACACCTTACCAATTATTGAACACAAATGCTGTTTCCGTCCCCCCTCCCCCACCAACACCCTCTGTTAATTCTTGCTCATACGCCGCCTCTTCCTTAATAGTTTACCCTTCAGGAGGTGGATGGCTAAGGGTCTAATACAATGTCAGATTATGTATCTGACATCGCTGAGATCTTGGATTTCAATCCAGGTAACCACCTTGTATTTAAACCCTCCGTCCTCATGTGCAGTGAGTTGATGGTCTCAGTCAAGTCATGAATGACTACGAAAAGATAATTATTAAATTTGATCCATCTGATATTTAACAGCAGTAAAAACTCAACATTTTGGTGCTGTTATAATTCGGTTAACATTCTTTCCAGGCCATGAAAAAGCTGCTAAAGTGGCCTTGTTCCATCGGCTTCATGAGTAGTTCTGTGACATCCTCTTCTGGGACAATTTTCTCCTGACAACATATAGCATTGCTCATTACAATAAGTTGACGTGTTAAATATTTCCTCACATGACATGACAGACATTGCATAATTTAGCATTGTAATTTGAAGGAGTGTAAAATATAATCATTAAGCAAATTCATGTTTGTATAGCAATGTATTCACTGCCATACCATTCCTAATGAGACACTTACTACATTTTAGATTATAACCAAGGTGAAAAAATAAAACAAACATTTACTGGAGTGATGCTAATAATTCAGTTGCTCATTATGAACAACGTAGTAATTTGAACTGTAATGCCAGCATTTCTATTTCAGTGCCGATGCAACTCGACTGGAAAATCTAAAATATTCTATCTTGTCAGAAAAAAAAGCATAACATTGGTGATGGCATACAGTATGTGTTGCTCAGTGTTAACATGCAGTCCAAAAATTACTTGATATATAATGTAACTGCAGAATATCATAATACATAGTTTCGTTGCAGATTGTAACATATGTCAGAGTAACACAGTATCTGAACTACCTGTTAATTTAATTAAAATACTACTACATATTTAGGTAATTGAAACGTGACTTTTATCATCTTACATTGCTGAACATATTTCAGTTTTTATGCATTATCAGCAAGGATCTGCATCTGTTGCTAACTGTTTTTTTTCCACCTTTTCAGAATTATTTGCTGCAAATTATTGTCAATGACTCAAAGGGCCTCTCATGCAATGGATCTGTGTCAATAATCATTGTGGATTCAAAAGATGAACCACCAGGATTCACGTATGATTTGCAACTAATTTCCTCACGAGACAAATAATATTAGTACTCATAAGCCAAGTATTAGGAGATAGACATTTTCCTTGCTGCAGCCAAAGCAGAGACAAATCAATGTAAATGAGGCACTAATCTATAGAAAATAGTAAAATAACTCAACATAGTTAATATCAATGGCCCTAAAAGAAAACATGTATAATAGGTGATGTTTCAGGCAACGTTTTGTTCTTTTAAGGCCACAGTATTATTAATGGACGCGTTGGGTTTCGTTGTCAATGGTTCTCGTGCACCACCTGCCAATGCAACAGCATCACCAATGATTTGGTTAATGTGGTTGCCGTTCCAACTGAGGCGCTGTCTTCCATCATTGGGGTTCACCTTGGTGATGGTACTGGTTGTGCTGGGGGCTAAACATGGAGTACCGCGTGAAGGCGACCGTCTCCGTTCCAACTACGTATTAACGAATCCTGCCATAACGTTTGTCACGTGTTGTTATATGAAAAAAGGGGACGTTATCGTCTTGGGGCTGACCTTAAACTGCATCCGGTGATTGTGTGACCTTAAAAAAAATACTTGAAGGAGGGCAGCGGAAACCATGATATTGCCCCTTTACCTCGTTACGTCTCAAGAACCGGAGCGTCGAGTGTGGTGTTGCGAAGTGATGGAGTATAATCGCATGGGACAAAGGGAGCTTGAATTACGGACTTGGAAGAGAACTTTGAAGTAATGGTGGACAAATGGCAGCATTGCAGGAATTTTATATTTGAAAATATAATTTTTACGTGCTAGGTTTTTTTTGGACGAGTGAGCACAGCGAGGAGGGGATTTACACACGTCCATGTGTGTCCTAATTGTGTCCGTTTGCACCGGTATTTAATTATTCACCCTAAATAGAACATAATTACCATGCAGTAGTTGTCTGATTCAATCCACTGCTGTTAGTACAATTTAAATTGTGTAAACAATGCTAGGATCATCCAGATATCTCAAAAAACATGTATTACGTGCACATAAAATGTACACTTGTGTCCCCCACTATAGGTGCCATGTACTGAATGTATTTTTTGTGTTGATAATGAGGAATAAATAGCGGTAGCAGTAGCTCAGTGATTTGCACACTGTACTGTGATTCTGGAAGCCCTAAACTGGATTCCTGGCCATGGCTGACATCAGATGCGAGTGATGTCTGAGGCACTCCTCCCCTACACAACTCCCATGACTGACAGAGTTTAGGGAGCCCTTCATCAAGCAGTGGAATTACAGAGGGCTGAGAAGTGTTATTTAGTTATAGTACAGATCATATATTGAATTTGTGCAGTATTAAAGTATTTACATGTAAAAATAAAAAGTTTTCTACAATGAACATTATACGAACAGTAATTCCATTCTAATCTAGGTTTTTAAATGTATTGAGTCATATATTGCATTTTGCATGTCCTAATTGTGAATTTCGAGTGAAAATATTACGTTTTAGTTTTTAGGGTATTCGTGGAAATATTCAAGTCATACAATCGTTGAAATTTGCATTTTGTTAAATTTAAATCTTTTATCAGGGGTCCGGCTTCAACGACAATTACAATCTTGGAAGAGCTGCCCCAAAACACCTTGGTCACAACCGTTACATCCAATGACACCACGGTTTATTTCGAGCTGGTGTCCCCTGCGGAGGGATTTTATATAGAATCCGGTAAACAACATGCACATCACCCAGTATTTTAGCTTTGCTCGTATGCTCGTGGTCGAGAATGTGTGAATTGTGTATAGATATTGTGGTGCCAGCAATTTGCTTTCATTAAATGATGGGCCAAACTGTTATTTGGTTAGGTTCACTGTTGTTAAAATGGTCCACGTTTTGTACGTTTACTTCGTGTGCATAATCCGTTGTAAGACTTAATTAGCACGTCATCTGTACGTAATGTTTCATACTCTTTGGTTCTTTGGGTAAAGTGACGTAGTTAGAAAATTAATAGATCACGACGTTTCTATCGCAACACAAGCAACCGTCATCAGGTGAGGCTAACACAGCAGGAGGACTGCTGACGTAGTCCTGCTGTGTTTGTTTCACCTGATGACGATTGCTTGTGTTGCGATCGAAACGTCGTGATCTATTAATGTTTCACATGTTAAATCATTGGCAAAAGGTCTCTTTTTTGATGACCCACTGGTAAGACAGCAGCAGGTCACACACACTCCAGCAGAATCTGCATTCGGAACTCCCCTCCTCCTTCTCCCTCTCCCTCCTCTTTATATACCTATGTACAGTATGTTGAACTTTTTTTCGCACCCTACCTAGCCAACCGTGCTAATCAGAGGCGCGGGGGAGGGACAACAAACTAAACACAAAAAAAGCCAATTATATATAAAAAATAGTTTTCAATCTAGATATTGAAGTGCACAGCGCCAGTGGCTTCCTCATATCGGAAAGGAAGAGCGTTCCAGACGGCCGCAGAAGCGCATCTGAAGGCGCGCCATGCAGTGACCATCTACTGCCATGGTTTTTGTGAACGGAAGGCATGCCGAGGGCTAATGGGGGGCGTGACACCCACAACGTCCTCTCAGCACCCCTCCTACTGCTCCACCGCGCGCGCCCCCCTTCATCTCCACTCACCAATCCTCCGGCTCTCTCCTTCCAACCGTCCTTCTCTTTCCCTTCCACTCTTTGTTTGCCTGCACCCTTTTCCCGCCGTGCGTGGCTCTCCGCTGTCTCCTCTGGCTCGCCTGCTGATCGCTGTCCAGGGCCATTGCCCCGCGCCTCACCCTGCTGACGTCTGATCAGAGTGGGCTCGCCCAGGCGCGCCTGTGTCTCCCCTTGCGCCGACAGGCCCCAAAGTGTCAAGCGGCCGGCAACAAACAGCACCATTTGAGGGTGCAATAGATAATAGTTAAAATGAAGTGCGGTCACCACATCTACGCCTCTATATAAGGAACGAAACAGTGAGACTGCTCCACAAATCTGGCTGTCGCCTGATGAAGCTAGTTGTAATTACTGGCGAAACGTCGTTCTCAGATTGTAAACGTTGTGGCTTGGCTCTCCAACACACACCGGTGTGCTGTACTAGTGACGAATTGGCACGTTCTGTTTACGTGACAACCCTTACTAGTTGGCTGTGTCGGGTGGTGGTGGGTTTTAACGACACATTTATATATTTACGCGATCTAACCCACAAACCCCCTGCTATGGATGTTTCTTGAGTTGAGTGAGGTTGTACGAATTTGGGAAAAGAGACGATTGGGAGGGCGAGGGGGGGGGGAAATTCGAAAAGTCGAGCAGTGCAGGGAAATCTCCTTTGGTTCTTTCGGTAAAGTCACGTGACTTTACCGAAAGAACCAAAGAAGATGAATCCTTGCAGTCACGAAAGCTTTAAATCGAGTGCAGGGAAACTTAATAACAAAGAGTGTTTTGATCTGCAGTATGGTAGTTGAACAGTATGGATGAAATGAAAGTCTGCTACACTCGAATCCTCAACATGGGGTGGAGGAATTGACGAATGGCTATCTAGTTCTGATCTTCTCATATATAGTATTGAGCCGTGGAACCCTATGCTGGCTGTCTCTTTTTATGCTGTAGATATGATGAGAGTACACCTGGTTTATATACTTGTAACCCATTTTACATGTGACATTATTTTAACTTTCAGCAACAGGGAAGTTGAAAACAGCCTATCAGCTGGACGTGGACAACAATCCTCTGCTCCAGATTAATAATATCGTGGTCAAGGTGACAAACTATATTTCCAAACTCAGTGCTACACTCAATCTCAAAGTGAATGTGGCGGACGTAAATGATAACCCACCTATCTGCACGTCTTACCATCACATGTATGTATAACATATGCAGTATTTTACACGCACCCATTTGTTCTTCATTCAGCAAATGGTTGTGTTAAAGGTTCCCTACTTTGCGCGAAATAATCATGAGCGTTGTTCTGGAGAATTTAAGTGCGAACAGAATAAATGTTCACAACGTGGAAACTCAAAGGGACCAGGATAGTCTCATTTGCGACAATGACCTGGGTCACTAAAGAGACGATTACGTGATCATAAGTAGACAGTATGCCTTCTTCCCGTATCTGTTCCTCCACACAAAAACAAATCAATTTTTTGTAACACATCCCATCAACCACACAGTCTTCTGGGAGTGCATACTCTCAGCAGCATTGGTTCAAAACAAGCAAACTCTAGTCCCTTTTCAACGTTCAGAGTCTCATCAGCAGTCCGGCTTACATGAACCTATAGTGGTGAATTGCTGGATGCATAGAGGTAAAATATCCGTGTTAGATACGGGTCCTACCTAGTTTGACGAAAAACTATGTACAGTCATACACACACACAACATCACCATTTGCGTCGTGTGGAGAATGTAGTTAACAAAATATAAAGTAATAAATTTAATCAGACAATACAACTTCCTATATCTTTTTAAGCTTCATTTTTCATAAAAGCATCACAATTTCACTTTTTTTAATATATAACACAATTTACGTTGTATGGTTCATGGTTTTTACAAAGCATACCAGTGGTACAGCACTCGTGTGTACATTTTAGTTATTTGGTAAACCAATTTGAAACTAACCTTGGAGCATCCCATTAACTGATCCAAAAAAATTCAACCTCGTCCAAGCATTAAAATAATGTGGCTATTGCAGGCAATGTAGGCAGTATGTGAAATAAGCACGTGCTATAGTTGTTAATTAATGTACACATATGTTACCACAACATTGTATCTTCATTGTAAACAATTGGGCTTACAATTTAACTGCGTTTGATTTTCTCCGTATGCGTCTGTGTTTTTGTTGTAAAGATATATGATTTCAGAAGGCGCTGTTGCTGGTACAAGTATCACCACACTAACCTGTTGGGACCACGATGTTACATCCATCAACAATGCTCTAACGTACAAACTGATTTCTGATGTAAACGCTCTATCCCGCTTTGCACTGACCGGTTCGACTCTTCAGGTATCGTTTCGTTTTTATTACGAATAAATATGATCATTTGAAGAGTACAATTTCATCCACGATTTTCAAACCCAACCTTATTTTGTTCAGTGGCATTTCATAATGAATAACACCTTGTTGTAATGTGTTCAGTTAAAAAAATGTGTTTTTTTAAGTCAAAGTGATATATTTCTTAAATGAGCATTGAGGCAGTGCCCATCCCCTGTTTACAGCCCAGAGCCAGTGGTGGAAATTCCATACTTATTGATATATCGGATAACCACTGTTGACTTCCCCACAAAGTGATAAACACCTTATCAGCCACAAAAGGATCATGGCCTAAGTCAGCCCCCAACCAGGATTTGAACCCATAACCTTCCGATTTGCGAGCCGCTCGCTCTACTGCTGAATCACCTGACTGGTTTTGGATATTAGCAGAAGCCACGTTAGTTCGTAAATATATATATCCAGCAAACCGCGTCGTACACCTAACCTTAATCAATTTGGAGAAAACCTTCAGGAAATTAATTCGGCTTATTTTACTATCAAGGAACTCTGAGTGAGGCAATGATTCATGTTACACCGAGAGTGCGTTAGATGTTAACTGTCTGTGTCTGCCATCGCAGTAAATAATGTGTTTGCCTAGAGGTGTGATATTCATCGTAAAAATGCCGACTGTATACGTTATAGATTAAAAAAAAATTGTACGCGTGCCGTTACGAGTTTTCTGAGTATGTGTCAAATTACACCATGGAGCCCTCGTGTAAATGAGGCGTTCCATGTCAAAGGATATACATTGTTGAAAATGTTTCTGTGTGCCCTCAGATTTTGACAAATTTGAACTACGATTTATTTGCACTTGCATTTGTGGACTTCCAGTACACATTGGTGATTGAAGTTCAAGACATTTCACACACAAGTAATTACGGTTGTATGGTGTCGTTGTACATTGTTTTACATTTGAATTTGACTCCTTTGTAAATGTTTGCAAATTGTACAACATAACCAGAATTACTGCGTGAGGAAAATACTTCAGATTTTACTCGGACCATGGAAGTAATGGGGACGTTATATTTCATAGGCTAATAGTCACATGAGAAATACATTTCCATGCAATTTAAGATTATTTTGTATCATTACTTACAAATGTTCATTTCAGATCACTGGGCAATTAATACAAATAAGCAGACACCCACTTCACGAAACATCGTGAAATCATCATCACATTCACATAATACTTATTCGAGGTTATATAGGTTGAATAGACTTTAATCTCTGAAATATTTGTCTGATGTTTATTATTACCATATTATTAAATTAACTAAGAAAAACATTGTATATAAGTTGCATATGAATTGCCAATTTGTGAGTTATGGGCTGCATAAAAAAACAAGGATTTAAAAAAATCCTGTAACCTTTAATTTCTCTCCGCCCCCCTCCCCCCCTCTCTCTCTTTTGCCGTTTGTACCTCCTCAATGTGTGCTCTCAGCTAATGTGACGGTCATGGTGGTATTGACACCGGTGAATGAATATAATCCGAGTTGCAACATCTTACAAGCGTTTTCAATCAGCGAGGACAGTCCCGTAGGGGCCCTCATTGGTGCTCCTGTATGCTGGGATGCCGACTACCCGTTTAACAACCTGAAATATTCCATTATCAGTGGCAACACGGACATACCCACGCCTTTTTACATCAACCCCAAAAATGGTCAGTTTGTGTTTATGATTACTGTTTTACTTCAATTGTGGATGAGAATTTACGGGGGGGGGGGGGGATGCTGCATGATTAGTAGATATTTTGCATATTTATAAATGTGGTTGGATGTTCAAGCTATCTGCTCAATCACCACCAAGCCAATTTATTAACAGCTTGATTCATGCAACAGCATAATAATATATGCAAGGAATTTTTTGCAACATACCATCTGCTGCCAAGTGAATGTTAATATATTTTTGTTATATATGTTTTGGAGTACCTATTATTACACCGTATTAAATGTTAATTCATGTTGGTTCAGTAATCTATGTCTAATGCAACATCAGAGTCAGAGCTTTACATTTGAAAAATAAAGTACTTCTTCTAGCGTATGGAAAGCATGTTTAGATTATACGTCCAGGTTTAAGTTCATGAGCCACGTGATGGCTTCGGGAATAGCGTTACGAATGCTGTCCGGTCCGCCCGGAAAGCGGGCCGCGTAGAATGCGGTTGTTGGCGATATGGTCCATTCTCTTTGGTTCTATTCGGTAAAGTCACGTAGGTAAAAAATAAAACAACAAAAAATCACGACGTTTCGGCCACAACACAAGTGGCCTTCATCAGGTGAAGGGACTGGACTGTTATTTTATTTTTTACCTACGTGACTTTACCGAATAGAACCAAAGAGTATGGATCCTTGCAGTCACGAAAGCTTCAAATCTAGAATGATATGGTCCATTGTTTGGTTCGGGTGGCCGCATTCAACTCCAGTGTGGACAAGGTGGGAGATGGCAGACTTCATGCGGCCCACCTGTTAAATGTATCGCTACACGACTAATAGCATCACTTCGCAATTTTGTAAATATAGTACGGTATAACGCTCACAGCGGGGATTTTATTTTTAATTGCCCATTTTGATAGTATCATGTTTATAGCATCTTGGTGACAGATATAATCAAATAATCTCCTTAATCCCTGATATATTTTTGTTCAAGGACATTCTCTCGTGAAGTGTGTTGCATAGCTGTTGCACAAGTGAACACAAGTTTTAATTGAGTGTAAAAAAAGAAATACCGACAAATTATTGTATTATAATTACATGTATATCGTCGCCTGCAGTGCTGGAAATGGGAAGAAAAAAATACTGGGGGACTGAAATGCCCCCACCCCCGACTCTGACCAACCAACACCTAGACGAGAGCCAGACCATGCCAACTGAGCCTGCATTCACTAACACAATCGTTTAGGTTTGCCTGTTTCAGCACATTCATTATGATAACAGTACAGTTCCAGACGCATCAGCAAATTGTATGAATGTTCGGGAGATCCCTCTTAAATAGAGGGATACACGTGATGTCATCACGTGTTCGCCAATCAGGTGCGAAGATTACCCACAACTACACTTGCCACTGGTTCTTTCCGCAATGCAACGGAGTTCAGAATTTCACTCCCGCCCACGGCGTTTCGGTTCGTTCCGGGTCTGTTCCGGCACCATGTCCACGAACGGTGACTTCTGCCAAAAAAAAATCAACAACCCATATAATTTACAATAACCTTAGTACCTTCCGTTCTTGCCAGGGTGCAGCCGCACTGCGGAAGCCGTGCCACTAGCAACTGGTTCTCAGTGGATATTGGGTAGATTAAAGATGGGATCTCAGAAGTTTGCCCCTCACTTCAACATGGATAAGAGTAGTTCTGTCCTAATATAATAATAAATCGGTGCAACTACTGGCCACTGACTCACTACTGAGCCAAATGTTTAGACGCTAGTGTGTACTTCAGGCTTTTGTCATCGGCATAATCAGTGTTTTTGTCACCTTGTTTAAGGTCGAAAATCACCAATACTTGGATTTTTTTGGTCCTAAATGTTGTGGGTGTCCCTGAGCCACCGCTAACATTTGGGGGCAGGTACGTGTGGTCAGGGGAGGCAGGGGAGGCATAGCCTCACCTGTCATACTCCAATGAAAGTAGCTGTTACGAAAAGTAAAAAAAAGAATACTCAAATAAAATGAATATTAAGATTTTTCCATTGATCTTTGTTATAAATGTCATTTCTGTACGATTCCAATCATTTTTATAGTCAAAATCGCATAAATTTGCGGAGCTCCACAGTAAATACAGGATGAAACGAGAGGTGAGCTCAGCCTCCCATCTGATTGTGCAACCCCTCAGTAACTGGATGGAGCGCAGGCAATAAGCGCGTGCCTGTTACTATCTCAGTATGTCACCAATGTAATGTCTGTAGACCCCTTCATTTTATGTCCTCGCCTTCCATACGCCAGGTAACTTATTTCACGTATGTGTATAAAGATATTTAGGCTCGCTGGTCTCGTCATGAAACTGCAATGAAAAAGCACCAGGGGAGGCAGCTATCACATCTGCCTCACGCCCCCTCAGTGAAGACACGCCCCTCAGTGAGACCACGCCCCCTCCGTGAGGCCACGCCCCCCTCAGTGTATGAATCTGGCTCTGACACTAGCCAATGCCTCCCCAGCCATTGACCTCACCGCACGTCACTGTTTTGGGGGTGTCTGGACATCCACAACGCCACAGTGGCTGCAACCCTGGCTCTTGCTAAAATAAGTACGGTAAAATAAAATAACATATAGAATATTTCCTTCTGCTACTAAAAAACTTAAAATGTTATTTTTGCCTTTGAGCATTTCCCTTAACCTAGTTGTGACACTAACCAGTAGTGTAGAGGTCACGTTTACAGTGCGAGGTGTTGGCTCTATTGCGCAAACACTGGCTTGAATGGGAGACGTACGGGACGAGATTTGTCATCATAGCGACCAAAATAACAGCGAAAACGTAGAAGGAAGTTAAGAGTAATACATATAATCCTATCTTAATTTACACACCTAAACAAACTTTGTTTTTTTATTTTAAACTGTATTTTATTAAACCCAATGATTTTTTTACTCCTGTAGAGGATATGTAAAATATTTAAAACATTTAAATCGTGGTAAAAGATATGTTTACCATACTTTATATATTTGTATTACTTGTGAACATTAAACATTAATAAAATATTAAGCTGGCTTATATAGCTATGTGTAAGATTTTCTACTTTCAAAAGTGGTAACCTGTAATTCAATCATGAATACGAAGCATTAAGTAACCACGGTTGAAATGTTACCACTTCCCTTACACCCTCCCCCCAACCACATTTTCTCCACAGGACAAATAAAAGTATTGAATACACTTGACAGGGAAAAGAAAAGTTTCTACCCTATGACTGTTCAGGTTGTGGATTTGAACAATGACATAGCAGCAGACCCGTTGCATCAGAGAACTTCAACTGTTGATTTCAGTATATTTGTTACGGTAAGTGGTCGTGAAACACGGCCGAAGTAATCAAACACCGTTGGGGTGAGGAGCAGTAGCTTTTATTTCTCCTCACCTTAAAAAAATAACAAAGTACACATTTAAATCTTGCACGTATGATGTATTTCAAACCCGGAAAAAATTACAATGCATAAAGTCAAGTGTCAGGGAATGCATTTTACTTTGCATGCATAACTTTTATGAGCTAACGTTAGAATGTCATATAAGAAGTGTAAAGAGATACTGACATCTTTTTTTATCGTACTTCATGTTTGTAATTGTGTAAATTATAAACATAGGGTTCACTAACATGGCGTTTGCTATTGCCCCCACCTTCCTGCGTAATCTCATGATCACAGTACATGATTGATCATATTCTCCATATTATTAGACACCCTGGAAAACAAGACACATCACAAACGTGTGTCCAGTCTCAATAAGGCTATACAAACATGGTCACACAAGTAGCTTTTGCTCTCAAGAAACAAAGCGAATCTTATAATCCTGACATTACACTCGTGTATTGCATATGTATAACAGCACATGAGCGCGTCCCAAATGTGTTCTACCTATGCTGTTTATCTTCCCTTCTAGAATGTAAATGATGAACCACCGGTGTGCACGCCTGCATTCTATGAGCAAACCATCTACTCCACACTGGCTGCCTTTCAGTCGGTCGTACAGATGCAATGCAGTGACTTGGACTCACTAGCACTTGACCTTGAATACAGAATCATAGGAGGTGAATGGTTTCATCTGTAATAATATTGTGTTTTTTTTTGGTGAGATCGCGTAAATATAAATGTGTCGTTAAACCCACCACCATCTGACACAGGCAATTAGTAATGTTTGTCACGTAAACAGAACGTGCCAATTCGTTACTGGTACAGCACACCGGTTTGTTGGAGAGCAAATCCACAACATTTACGATCTGAGTACGACGTTTTGCCAGTAATTACAACTAGCTTCATCAGGCGACAGCCAGATTTGTGGATAAATCCTCCTGTTTGGTTCCTTAAATAGAGGGATAGATGTGATGACGTCACTTGTGAGCCCTTCACGTGCAAAGGGGGGGGGGGGGGATTAATGAATGTATATCAATTACGATGGGTATCAATTGCCGGTTGGGTTATTGTGTTGCATAACACATGCACAGTTATATGTCAGTAAGTAATGTGTCATTTATGTATAAAAATGTATGTTGAGGTATCCAGGCGGCTTCGGGGTCATTGCACTGAGCCAGCACCTCTTAGATCCTGGGTTTAAATCTGGTCAGCCGTCCTCGATTACATTCGGTTCTCAAGTTCAGTAGGTTGACGGTCTCATCCTGGTCACAATGATACATATACTGTCGCTCGAAATATTTAGTGACACTGCATTGGCAGTGGTGCACAAGCACAATTAACAATCTCAACACAATTGTCAATAATACTGCCTTGAAAATAAATGCATATCATGAGTGATGTTTTCGCACAAGGCCCTCCTCATAGCACATAGAGAGACCACTAAACCTCTCTGGCCTCTTGATTTATGTTATTGACAAATTCGTTGAGTTAGTTTTGTAATTTACACTTAATTTGGCTAATATATGCGCTCTGTTAAAAAGTAAAGTATGTTTGATATACATGCGATGGACAATCTTTGCAGGAGGACGTACACAATATGTTAAATTTATCCTCGTATGAACAAAGATTGTAATTAAATTCGTTTTAGCAGTAGTTCTGTAATGTCATCTTCTGGGGCCATTCTGCAACTGGGGCCATTCTGCAATGATGCCTGCTAGCTGCAGGGTTCCAAATCCAAATGGCTTCATCTCATGAAGACAATAACACAATTGTTGTATACCATAAATGCCAATACTTTTAAAATATTTATAATGTGGCTTGAAAGGAAGTAAATATATTGAGTTATTTGTTTGACATTACCTTTACAGTAGTTGTTCAATTTAATAATCTACTTGCCATCTGTCTAGCAATTGGTGAAATTAAAGTTTGTTATAATTAGTACTTTATTAATTTAATTTGCATTCGGGACCCATTTCCCACGTTTGTTTCCAGGAATAACATATCACGTTATTTTCACCAAATGTACTTTCTCATGCCAGGTAACACAAACGGCCGCTTTGTGCTGTCAAATGCAAGACCACCGGCAGTATTGACTCGTTCAATATTCAGTTATTTTACTCTGGGTGGCGTCACTGACCCCAAAGACTTCCAGCTGCTGGTGTTGATTGAAGATGAGGCTACTAATCCAGACAAGACGAGAAGGCTAAGCAGCACCGCCACCATCCTCATCCATGTAGTGCCCTGGACCACAACCGTCCCCCCCCCTGCCACGGTAAAAAAAAATACTACAGCCACAGGACATGGGCACCTGGCATGAAACACATTAGGATTATTCAGATTATTTAGCTGCTATAAATTTCCACGAGATAAGCCACTTTGTTGAGCTATCATTTACCTTTCCTATACGTTGCACGCGTATCGTGTTTTTGTATTGTTTGTTGTTGTAACGTTTTGACCTGCCCTTACCGGACATTTGTGAAAAATATATTTATAGCTCATCACATTCTTCCAGTATAAATAAATATTCAGATTTTGACATTTGCAATGGTTAGCGCACTGAACTTGCAATCCAGAGGTCGCCGGATCGATCTCCTGGTGCGGAAGTTGAAATAGTGCATCAAGTTTCTTATATCCCTCCCCTACCCCCGACTCTGTCCACCTAAAAGTTTAAATGAGAACTTCACAATTCGTGCAGGTTGTGTGTGGTGGGGTAAAGTGTGGGTGCTGCCACCTCTTCTAAGTTGTCTAACCAGCGTGAAGTAGACCAATACCTTCTAGGGAGGCTATTCAGAGCTCCTTAAGTGGAGGTCCTTCTGACAGCAGTGGCATGAGCATGGAATTGCACGGCTGTACTTTTATATATTTTTTGGGAATTACTCTTTGGTTCTCTCGGTAAAGTCACGTGACTTTACCGAAAGAACCAAAGAGTAATTCCTGCAGTCACGAAAGCTTCAAATCAATATCTTTGGTATTGTTTAAAACCAGTGGCGGAGCCAGTGGGGATGGCACGTGCCCCGCCAATGATCCGATCGAAATCCTTAATTTTGATCGGATCATTGGGGTTTATTAGAAATGTTGCGGCCCCCACTGCCACTGTGTAGCATATTATTACGTGCCAGGGACTCTATGAGATGAGAGGACAATAGTCTGAGTCCATAATTGGCAATAAGTAACGGCAAAGCAGTTATTAAGTGACTCAGAATTGTGCGCAGTTGCGTATACAGTACACAATTTCCCTGAAGGCATATCTTCAGCGAGTGCGATGCCGATCACACACGGTTCGAATAAAAAGCAAGGGACAAGTCCTTACTTACTAACAACTCCTATCATTTTTCATTGCTGGAGGGGTTGCCCCCCCTACCTGAAAATCCTGGCTCCGCCAATGTTTAAACTGACATCTGTCTCTCCATATTAAAATATATATGTTTAGTCCCTCTGCCTATTGCCTTTCAGATGTATATTATTCAGCAGCACTTGCTTAAATGAGCAAATTAAGGGCCAGTTGCAGCAGTTTGGAATGTTTGTGTCGGTTCTTACTCATAATGGCCCAGAATGCATGATGGTTATTGTTTCATTTAATAGGGTATCGTCGAGTAGATGGAATACTATACTCTTTGGTTCTATTCGGTAAAGTCACGTAGGTAAAAAATAAAACAACAAAAAATCACAACGTTTCGGCCACAACACAAGCGGCCTTGTTGTTTTATTTTTTACCTACGTGACTTTACCGAATAGAACCAAAGAGTATGGATCCTTGCAGTCACGAAAGCTTTAAATCTAGAATAGATGGAATACTCTTGCCAATAACATCTGGCATCCCAGCAGTATTGGTCGAGCAAGTCTTACTATGCTCATTAGGTCCAAAAGTGCGACAGACTGCATGCATGAACAATAGCAGATGCATGTATTACACACTCATCATAGTCAGCGTAGAACAATGTGAAGAGTCATATGCTGGAAGAGGGGAGCAGAATCAGGGAGGAGAAGATTGCATTTTAACACATGCACAGTGAAATGGAGAAGTGGGATTTATGTGGAGAGTGGATTACCTTATTTGAATTATAACGTATTTACCCATAAAAGGCACATTCAATGCAATTATAATTTTTCAAGAAGGTCATGCATTGGGAAGTTTGGCCAACTCCAATTAAAGTGTATGTTTTATTTAGCGAAGATATGGGAGGAAACTAGAGAAGTCGATGAAAACCCATGCAGAACGAGGGGATAAAAGACATTCCAAACATCAAGGTGACTCAGTCAGGAATTTAACCCAGGTTCTTCTTTGGAGGCACTCGTGTGTTACCATTGCACCACCCAGCCGTCATTATAAGTACTGTATATAGACAATAGCTAACATTTGTGGCCCTGCAGTTTCAAGTGGTCTTCAGTTGTGTACTTGTAACCCCGTTCCACAATTTAGTTGCGTAGTTTGACAGAAGCGTCATCACTGTCATCTTCACAGCACAATGATCACCAGAGTTACCACCACTGCATTAACTTGAATCAATGTTTTCAAGCACCTGTGACCAATGACGAAACTGATAAGAAATATAACACATTTCCTCACAAAACTGTCAAAGTAAACTGCTCTGTGAATACTGTATTTTTTCAGGTCCTTACAACGAAAATCATCAATGTAGTTGATACATATTGGAAGCCAGACACTTGGTTTATTGCCGTCATGGTCATTGCTGGACTTTTGCTCCTACTTACCATCGTTCTGATTTCATATTGCTGTTGGAAAAGGTATGAAAACTTTTTGTCTCCTATGCATGATATTGGTAATTATTTCGACAATGTCAAATGAAACACGTCGCATATCTTTAATGCAAAGCGTGATAGATAAAATATGGTGTGTTTCATTAAAAGGGCACATGTAACATCAAATACCTGTTAATTATTACTGTTGGAGAGACAAGGCAAAGAAGCCAGACTGTTTTTTTTTAAATATTGCGCAGCTTTGTAAATCAACGGCTTGTAAACATGCAACATTGCTAACTAGATTTAAAGAGAACAAGCCAACGCAATAGTCTAATCAGTAACAAAATCAGTCATATCTCCGGCTCTAAAATTCCCCGTTTAAAACTTCACACGAATGTTTTCGCCGGTTAAAAAAAATATATATATATGAGAAAAGATGCTGCGCTTAAGCGGGAAATTCGTGCCGACGTTGCCTGCCAGCGTCGGCACGTCTCTAGATGGTTGTTGTTGTTGCTGACAACGCGATCGTGGATCAGTGGTGGGGGGGGGGGGGGCTGTGCACGTGCTGGCCCCCACAAGGATTTCTTCCGCCATTGGGCAGTGAGAAGCGCTTACCCTTGAGATGACCCCCCAGTCCCCGTCTTGGAATGATGATGATGATGATAATGTGACTTCACGCCGCCGCTTCGTCGCAGCGTTGGGAGTTTCCTGCTCCCGATTTCAATGCCCCTCACTAATAATATAATTATCATCGGCGTTTAGATTTGTATCGTCGCTATTCGTGTTTGAAATAAGAACTCCCGTCCCCCCCCCGCATAATTGGGTATTGAAGAGGAACAGCCAGATTATAATGTCTGACCAATAAATGAAGCATTTCCACCCCCCCCACCCCCAAGACAAATGCGAGAATAAAACCTTAAAAACGTGAAATTAAAAGTAGGCGCAGACTCACAAGATTGTCTAGAATTTTCATTGCCACCTCATCCCGTCTGTCTAATGTACCGAGTGGTCCAGATGTCTTGTGACCCACAATTCATTGCCCCCTCATGAATTTCTTCCTTTGGATATGCATTCCTGCTTTAAGTAAAACCTTACTTAAACAATATTGCGTTTTAGATAATTAAATGGTGGTTCACAACATATATCTGGACCACCCTCTACCGCACCTATTCCATTGTTTATTACGTTGAGATTTGTTTTAATGTAACACCGAGTAAAGAAAGTTTATTTTATAATTTTTTTTATAAAATACATTTTGTCCATCGTTGAGTTTTTTTTTGGTTTACGTACAGATACATGATTACTCTGAAAACCTTTGATTATTCTGCCGTAGTGTAATGGTTTGCACACTGGACTAGCAATCCAGAGGTCACCTGATTTTTCTCCTGGCGTGACAGTTGAATCAATGGTGCAAGGTTCTTTTACATTTCCCCTCGTCCTCTATCCACCCAAGAAGTAGCAGTGAGTACGCAGCAGCCAATCGGCAGGTCGTGTGTGGTGGGTTAAAGTGTGGGTGCTCCCATCGCTTCCAAGACATCTGACCGGCTGTAATCGAGTAGGGGGAAAAAAAACAACACATTCCGGAAGAGGGGTTCTTTGAAACTCCCCCCAGTGGAGGTCCCTGTCACCAGGAGTGGTGGGAGCAAGACATTGGGAGGGCTCCACCCTTTGTTTTACCCTTGTGTATGGTGGGGTTTTTGTTGTGGAAATATTTGCGAATCACCACGTGATGCGTTTGTCTCCCAGCATGCCCTGCTGTTGGAAGTGCTGCAAGCCCTCGCAACCCGTGGATGAGAAACCCCTGCTGGAGGCTAACAAGTCAGAGCTTGCCTTTGGGATTGAGTTGCATGCACAGACCACACTCCCCCATGCTTAGAGCCTGCACTGTGTATTTAACCTATTGTCAAAGACAACACGCACTGTATCACTGTGGCATACGAAAGTTGTTGAATGATGGTCACTATGCAAGGAAGAAATGCTCATATTGAATTAGCAGCTAAGCTAGAACATTCCACTTCTGGGATTGCATGTTCAGAAGTATCAACCATTTTTTGTTAATTTAGAGTACCGTATATATGTAAAACTGACTAAGAAACATCTACCTTAGCTTCCAATTGTTGCTTCTTTGCTTAATAGTGGATGCATATTGTGAGCTAGACATTTTAATTGAGGTCAACTCCTAGATATCCATGAAATTTAAATGTTTCATTGTCGGTAATTTCGTGATTTTTTTTTACAATTTTTAGCAGCGTATGCTTCTTTTGTAAATGGCTTGGCTATGAATGTTTAAATGTTCACGTGACATTAATGAACCAATGTTGCATCAACGTGTTTGTCACTCGTGTGATTGTGTGTTTTTTTCTGATTGACCAAGGATGAAAGAACCTCACAACACACCAGAAGATCCACCTAATAATATACCACGAGATCCAATCAACTCTGAAAGAACAAGAGAAACGCCTCCACCTTCATACGGGGTAGGATACAAACATGTATATGGCAACATTAATGTGAGGATATATGCAGTCTGTTAAAATTGTTTACCTTGCCGCTTGGCATGTTTTTTTAATATTGTATGCTGTGATTATTACGTCTTGAAACCACTGAAAACTGACATTTTGCATGTTCTCATTTTTTTTTAAGTTTGATGGCAGAGCAGAAGATCCAAGTAAGACGTGTCTTATATTTTAAACTTCTTTATAAGCAACACCGCGATATTGGTGACCTATTGATTGATAAGCACAGTGATCAACTTTGTATACAAATTTATGTCAACATTTTACAGAATACTGGAAAGAGAAGAGTTTATTATGCATCAATGTTTGCCAGCGTTATTTTATGTTTTAATTTCAAATTCGCGCATGTTTTCGAATAGAACGGGAATGCTTCTGTGATTTGCCACAATAGCCAAAGGCGTTTGGTTATTTTCTCCGTTTCAGACGATATTTTTCCTTGTTTATTTTCCACAGGTTCAGGAAGAGAATATGTTTTCAACTCTGCAACTGGAGAAAGGCGCTGGCTTTAAAGTTTAATTGGAAAAAAAAGTTATCACATTCGTAAATGGATAACATATGGATTTTGTTGTGGCTGATCATCATTGAGTGGTATAATCGTAGTGCCTTATATTTATTGAATTGCATGCTTGCATAGCTTCTTTTTTGTCATAATTAAAAAAATGTTTTCACATGGAAGAACCTCAACGAGTTCTGTAGGGTGTATGGTCTACTCTTCCACATTGACCTGATGTATTAGAAGAAGTGGGAGTACACATTTTACTCCACCGCCTACAACCTACTGATCGACTGTGGTGGACCCATTTACAGTGAGGGAAAAAAAGGTGTTTGATCCCCTGCTGATTTTGTACGTTTTGCCACTGACAAAGAAATGATCAGTCTATAATTTTAATGGTAGGTTTATTTGAACAGTGAGAGACAGAATAACAACAACAAAATCCAGAAAAAAGCATGTCAAAAATGTTATAAATTGATTTGCATTTTAATGAGAGAAATAAGTATTTGACCCCCTCTCAATCAGAAAGATTTCTGGCTCCCAGATGTCTTTTATACAGGTAACGAGCTGAGATAAGGAGCACACTCTTAAAGGGAGTGCTCCTAATCTCAGCTTGTTACCTGTATAAAAGACACCTGTCCACAGAAGCAATCAATCAATCAGATTCCAAACTCTCCACCATGGCCAAGACCAAAGAGCTCTCCAAAGATGTTAGGGACAAGATTGTAGACCTTACACAAGGCTGGAATGGGCTATGGACAGAGGCAGGGGGATTTAATAAACTTGCGCCATTGTTTTAATTTTTGCGTCGAATGATCGAATCGAGCCGGCAACATCTGGATTGTAAGTCGAGTGCGTTACTGCACCTCGGCAGATCCTCAAGTATATACGATTACAGATTAATTCAAAATAACCACAGGTTTTAAAAACTCCCGCTGCACTTTTTTTCCTGAAGGCCAATCAGGTAAAACGTCAATCTTTTTTTTTCAGTGTCAAAATTATAAACCCTATAATAGTTTTTTCCCCTTTTTTCTGGCAACAAAACAGGTGTTAAAATGTTAAAACACCAAACTGAAACCTTTAACAAGGAATCATGTCTGCATTAACCACAACACTTGTGGTCAGAATGCAAACAAAAAACATACTCTGGTTATATATGCATTGTCCTTGAAACTGATTGGTCCACACCAGAGACATCTTTCTTTTGAGTCTCGTCTCAAACGGTGTTAGACCAGAGGATGCCAATCAGTTTCAAGGACAATGCATATATTATCAGAGTATGTTTTTTTTGTTTGCATTCTGACCACAAGTATTGTGGTTAATGCAGACATGATTCCTTGTAAAAGGTTTCAGTTTGGTGTTTTAACATCTTAACACCTGTTTTGTTGCCAGAAAAAAAAGAGAAACCCCTATTATCAAAAATTGTTTAGTTTTACATTGGACAAGTTGTTCAAATCCCCCCCCCCCTCCCCCCATCTTTGTGCACCCTGAAATATACAATACAGCCAATGGGCATGCCCCAGTCTATCGCCAGATCACGTGTGGTGAGGTAAAGCGTGGGTACTCCCACCTTTTCCACGACGTCTGGCCAGCGTTTCAGCATGGACCAAATTCTCTTTGGAGGATGGCTGTCTCGGGCTCCCTCTAGTGGATGCGATTTTGCCAGTAGTGTGAGCAACCTTTTGCAGGGCTGGACCTTAATCTTGCTATTTTTAATTAACATGTTATTTAGCTTATGGGTTCACTGAAAACAATAACTTGATAATTTCCCTAAAGTGAACGAGATTAAGATGCCAGACATTAAAAATCCTATATATGTATAGAACGCAATTATTGATGTTTTCACTATCGTTACAACAGTATTGTTATGCGTTCATACATTAGAAAGGCATTTAATACAGCTTGTAACTTACAAAAACATTCGGAAAGGTCAGGGTACATTAGGTTTCTACCACGAATGCACTTTACTGTATTTTGAAATGTGTGGAGTTACATTGTATGCAATAATCTTCAACACATCGATAGTTCATTCAAAGCACACATTTAATTTGTTTGCAAATTGAATGTTTACCTCGAATAACATGATCCATTTCAATCAATAATGGAGATGTCATATGATGAATCAATTTAAATGTAGGAAATGTTATCAACCAATTACACGATTCTCTTTGCAGAAAATGCGCATACACCAACATCACTCTGGCACATAAGTATTCAAATAAAATAGATTGTGTTTTTACGAAATGCTTATATGTAGATTGTATTATTATATATAGATATGCTCAATGGATCAGAATATGGTTTATTATTTGTCAAATGTAAATTTACTTAGTATACAATATTGACCAAATAAACACTGCTAAAATAAAAAAAAACTAAGTTACCCGCTTTATAAGGATTAAAGAAAACATGCAACTAATTCAAAATCAATTTACTTAAAAATAGCGATTGATGAAAATTATAAAAATTTAACCCCCTTGTTCAGAATTATGCTTAAGTTTGTAAAACTGTATTTGGTATAGGTATGGAGTACTCAGACGACAGGGTTAATGTCTCTCGGTATATCATATATGAACAAAATGCACACTTGTGAAAATTACATCATGACAATTAATGACCCTCTCTGTCATAATTGAATCATGTGATTTCATCAATTGTATTCCCATTGCCACCACATTCAAATTAATGGCCACTTCACTCTTCCGTGGACAGCAGTTTGCAATTCCCATTATGCGAGTTGAACTAAAAAGAAAAAAGGTTAGATTATTCTAACCCCCCTAATTGTATCCCTTAATAGCTGGCAATTCTGCTTGGAGGCTAAACGGGGTTTCTCTGTCCAATGACTTTATTAATCCAGTCAGTGTATGCCGCCACACGCACAAAAACACCTGGCCGTTTGAGCTTTGCACAGCTGCGTCCTGGTGTGATGATGCCCTGCAGCACATAGCAGGACTCTTCCCTACATGCCAGAGGGCCACCATAGTCTCTCTGTGTGCGACATAAATAAATACAATTTCACATCCATTCATTAGGAATACTATTATAATATAGTGCATTGGGTAGTCTTGACATTCTTATGGCTCAAGGGTATTGGTGAAGGTGCTATGTTTCACAGACTCACAAAGTCTGCCAGTAGGGTGCCAATGTTGCTATATGGTTTTACCTAATTAAGTAATTTGCATGTAATGTGTTTTTACTTGGAGTGTGACGTAGGCACATACGGCCTACTCTTCTTAGAATAACATAAACGACGTGGGCAATGTGGAGCAGGTGACGTGCATAGTTTGGTTAATGCGCCCGCATTATTAACCAGGGCAACCTTTGGGCTCATCCATGAACCGGAAAATGTGCTAAATTCAAGCAGTGTACCAAGTGGGTCAAATATTAAAGTTGTAATTTGTTCAAAGACTATTCATGTAAATCCAATTTAAGTTGAAGTACAGGATGTGTCATTAATAGGTGCTTGTGGGCATTAAATCAATACATTATTTGGAGCGCCTTTCTTACTTGATGGATGTAACACTTGGAAGTGATTGTTAATGACACTTTAAAATCGTAAACCTAGTGCAAATGAGATATCCACGTTGTGTGAAACATTACATGTTATGGTCATTGGTTGAGATTTTGATTAAAATGAAACTTTTCACCACTCGTGCAGAGGTGTTAATATTATTGCACCATCTAATTTCTAGAATTATACAACATATCAGAATATTTATTTAGCCTGGAGGAACCCAATGCGCTTGTAAAGCTCTCTGTCACAGATGTCCAGTTGTCAGCAACTTACAACTTACATGGACAGGTAACATGCACGCATTTGTTTCCTCTCGGTGATAGAAATGTTTCAACACAGGACAGAGCAGCGCATCGTGGCTGTTTCTCTCTCTCCCCCCTCCTCCGTTCCGAGCATAGATGGACTCGTCCGTCTGAACAAAGCTCGTTGCTTTCCGTGGTGCTAACGTTGAAAATAAAAAAAGAAACCGCCACTTTTTCCGACATAGTTACATGCTAATCCCTCACACTAACATTATGCGAATCTCCCAGTTACATGCTAATTTCTGACTTTAACATCCCGCTAATCCAACACATTAACAGCTACTTCAATGCTAAATTCTTCTGTTGATATGTAAACTCCTTCGTCAAGGCGCTCTGCTCCTCCCACCCAGCTTAAAAGATGCTGCCAAGCTTGGAAGTGTTCACTGAAGCGCTGTCGTCCCGACAGTTCTGTTTCTTCACCTGAGGAAGGCTACTTGTGTTGTGGCCGAAACGTCGTGAGAATTTTATTTTACTATGTTAAATTTTTATTATTTTATTATTTCCATTCTACGTGACTTTACCGAAAGAACCAAGAAGACAGTGGGAGCAGCTTTACCAGATTGTTTTTTCGTCAGCATCTGCAAATATATCATCCCTTATTAAAGCGTCCCTTCAAATCTCAGACTCTTTATTAATACCGGAGGAATCTGATGAGCTATAAAGCTCTTTTTCACAGATGCCCGGCAATCTCTGCGCGTCCACTATGGCGTTGGTGACACACATCATGTTGCGGTTCGGGAAAGCCCCAGGTGTTCGCCAACATCGCGGGTGTGAATATTTCTAATGCTTCGATCATTTGCTGAAGGTCACTCGAGTTTTTAGTTTTTATTTGACGTCACGTTCAACCACGCAGTTCAAACTGCCGCCCACATTTAATAAATGTTGAATAATGCTTTTATGGACACCCTGTGTTTCCCATCAAAACTCAAATGCGTCCTCTTACACAAGCGCTCATAAGTGAATTATCACTCAACGGAGTCAATTTTGGTGTCAATAGTTTACGCCTTATAGCTGTCATGATGTGTGGTTTCGGGTTGTGCCACATGTTTCTTTGGCATGATGTCCAAATACGCACGCCCTGTCCGGGAATCTAATCCAGATCGAAAGAATGACACCGCAACCCCGACACCATGAGAGAGCTATGTAGTCCAAATCCAAAAACCTACGTAACATTTTAACAGTAAGTGAAAAGAGCAATGGTGTTGATGACAGTGTCTCTTTCTGGATCAACATTTGGTCACTGGCAAGGACACCTTTGTAGGGTGAGAATGCCCGTACCTCGCAGCTGTCAATCTTTCCCTCTGTATTTCCGGCGCAAATCTCAGTGTCATCAATCTGCCGCTTGTGGTGCGCGCCGCACGTGTCCCCGGCAACAACTTGAATGGATGCGATGTTCAGAGCACCGTTCTGTTCTGAACCTGAAATCGGAAGAGACAGGAGAACCATTTTGTTATTATATATATACGTCTCCCGCTTTATTTCTGGGATGCATTCCTGAAAGTGCGACGGATATCGAAACAACGTAAATCACAGCGATTTTAGAATGCACGCCACGAGGCTGAAACAAATGACAAGAGGAGGGGGGTATGAAGCCGTGTGGTAAT